CCTTCAACCCCTCTGTCAGGGCGTAAATTAGGCTTCTTTTTGGGTCCTTTAATCTCATCTGGTTAACACGAAAAACACGAAAATAAGTTTCTCGACGGACTCATAATAATCATACAATTCAAGATTTAGAGCTGGATTCTAGGTGATGACTAACCTACATGATCAAAGATTATGCCAGTTGCACACCGCTTAAATAACCGAACTCCACAATCATCGTCGGGTTTATCCTCGGGAACATTGACAGGATCTTTAACAAAGTCTAAACTCTTCTCCACCATTTCATTCAAAAGGTTCTTCACCTGTTAATTAAAGCTTACCTCAATCAGCAACAAATAACCAACTCGAAAAACTATACCTAACTAGCATGAACAATGACTAGAGATAGACAAAAGTCTTACACACCATAAACAATAATTTCAAGAACACCCAATAAACTGATCACTCAAATCCACTCTCAACTTCTGCAACTTTCTAACATTCTACATTAACCATTGAAACTCTTAAACAAAGTCTAATTGCCATCAATAGAGCTATATGTAGATGGAAATTCACATTCATGAGACTTTTCAATATATGAAGTAATGACTAACCTTGATCTGCCCATGTGTTAGCTTTTTAGGTTTGATTCTAAAATCTCCATCTTTATGTGGTTGAGTAGCTACAGGTTTCGTGGCGGAGGCGCCGTAAACGGTGGTGGTGGCTATCGAATTGATGGCGGCTTTCCACTTGGGATCTTCATCTTCACTGCTGCTATCTACTTCACTTCTCTCTCGATCAGCCATTCCAACAACGTCGCCGTGAAATCTCTCTTCTATGTCCTCTCTGTCTCACGGCGAACTGTGTAATCTCCGGCAGAAGAACGTCGTCAAGGGTTTTATTAGATAACACTTTTTCCGGATTCGGGTCGGGTTTAATTTTGACACGGAAGAGAGATTAATCTTATTTAACGAAGGACCCCGAATCTCTTAGTATTACCAAATTACCCCAGATTTTCTGGGTTTTATAAGAACACCTTCGCAATTTTCGTATTTAATGAAAGACCTCAATATCTTTTGATATTAGCCTAAATACCCCATACATTTTGATAGTTATGGAAACACCCTCGTATATCCTATATATTGAAACCTCAATAAAATATCTGATCTCTAATAAACAATCAATCACATAAGAAAATGGATGCATAAAACAGAAGTGATATAAGAAATTGATAGTAACAGAACTGTGTCCTAAAGTAAATGTAACAGAACTCATATACTATCCTCAAAAGTGATCTGTATTAACAATGGCCCTATAGATCTCTCTCTCTTTCTAACCTGTAAACGAAAACAGAGCAGCACAACAACAACAATAACAATAACAATGAGCCCAACAAATAAATGGAAGAAGAAGAAACAAGTGAAAACGACTCTAAAAGCTTAGTCTTTTTCTAAGCAATCTTCTTCTCTCTTGCTGAAGGCAATCGCCATTGTCTATGCCAATATACAGAAACTCTCGACCACATTGGAAACCCGAAATTATACTCAAGAGGCCTATCAGCTGGTCCACCAACTATCAAAGGTAGCCACAAATATCTCGAATCCCTTAAATCCGCTGGATTCCACCTATCCGCCATAAATATATACACACCGGGAACACCTGGTAATGGAATCACGAATGTGCTCTGCGCGAAAAATGTCGTTGACCGGAAAATATTGTTCCCGCCAACACATGGATTCCCTAATGTCTCCCACGGACCCATTATCGACTCAGCGGCATGAGCTAATGCTTCGTTTGGTGCCCATCCGGTGCAACCAGACGTGATCATGTAGTAAGTGTTTTGGTGTTTGAAGATAGCCGGAGCTTCTCTGTGTTGTCCCACCATGATTCTCTTCATTACTGGCTTCACATCGAGGTAATTCTCGGTTAGAGGACCGATATGTAGTACGCTGTTGTCCTCTGATGAATATATCAAATAGGCGATGTTATCATCGTCTTTGTAGACTGTCATGTCTCTACTGTCGAACCCGTGAGGCGATCTGCTGTATAAGTAATCGAATGGACCTGTTGGGTTATCGCTGATGGCTACACCAACCGAAGCTTTAGTGTAGTTTGCATCGTCGATATGCATCCACATCACGTACTTACCTGTTTCTGAATTATATATCACTTTAGGACGCTCAAGAACATTGGATTTGTGTAAGTCATGAGTCTCATCTGTTTCTTCGGCTGCTAATACTACGCCTTCGTTTTTCCATGTCCATAAATCTTTCGACGAGTAGCATCCAACACCGATTATATCAACCTGATACAAATCCAAGAAATCTGTTTTCACATTCTAATTTTAAATTCCAAGAATGAGACATTAATGGAAAGCAAGAAAAGGTTAAACTTACTCGAGCGGCACCTTTCTTGTGAGAAAGATAAGTTGGTCCATCTTTATATTCACCATACCAATAGTAAACCTTAGATATCTCATCAAACAAAATGCCACCACCGTGTGCTTGAATCGGATTCCCTTCCGTGTCTGTCCAAATCTTCCCCGGGAAGTAGTAATGCGATGTATCATTAGTATCCTCCTTGGTAGGACCAAAAGCTGATTTCATATCAGGGAAAAAAAGATGGCGAATCTGAGAATTCTCATCGAGAAACTCTTCGACTAAAGTGGTAGGTATTTTTGGTTTCCGTTTGATAGCGCGAGGAGAACGCTTCCTAGGAGGCGGCATATGAATATTCTCTTCTTCAACGCGTTCGAGCTCACGGACAATAGGATGATGGATAAGTAACTGAGGTGAATCATCAAGATCTGCACTATAACTTCTGCTATATAACATGGTTAAATGAATCATGAAAACACATCCCACAACTGTAGATACTAAACCAAACGGTGAACAACGCAAAAACGTTGCTTTCTTGTAGTGTTTGTTCTTCATCACCCTCATCTTTGTTCCAAAGATTTATCTCCACAATACACAACCTATGAAGATCCAACACAATCATACAACAACAAAAAAAATATAAGTATACAAGTGTTAAGTGTCTAAAGTTAAATACAAATGTTATATAACAAATAAAGAAAGTGATTTGTTTTGGCCTAATTCAAGCTAATTACTCTTTTGGGAGATGAAATTTTGTCCCTATAACAGATTTGGCTTCCACATAAGAGGGTCAAATTGTCAAATTTATTAAGTTGATTAGCAAAACATTAAGCAGAAATTTCGATACCAGATCCAAAAAAGCAGAAGCTAAACCCTAAAGACAGCTAATTTACAGAGGAAGATAAACACACAAAATTAGGAGACAAAAAGTCCTCGGGATATTACCTGAAAAAGAAGCCGGAGCTGAAATTTCCGACATGTAATGAGAGTCTAAAGACCTAAGCTTTCTCCGAAGTAAACAATGTCTGAGAAAAAGAAACCAAATTTTTGATTTTGCAATTGGTTTCAGATTCTCCGGAGAAGAAAGCTCGAACCTGGGAACGTAATTACGAAACCCAGGAGTAGAATTGGGGGGAATTAAGAAATGGGTCGGTGAGTTTTGGTTAAGAAGGATCTGTCAATGGAAGAAAGAGAGGTCTTTGATGATGATGATTATGATGATGATGATGATGGATTCAGACGTGCGACCAAAAGACGAGACCGATGTTAGTTCTTTACTCGTCTGTGAGTTTTCTGGTTTTTTGTTTTTTTCTTTTTTCTTGGAATCTTGTCGTTCTGGTAATTATCATTTAAGAAATTTAATGATTGTCCCGTTAATATACTTTCTCCTTGAGTATAGGATTCATTAATGCTTAATTATGTAAGTACCACTTCTTTCAATTAAAATTTAAAATAGTAGTTTGTCCAACATTTGAGAGAAAATTAGACGACAAGTTAATTTAATTCGATGAAAACATTTCTTTTTTGTTGACATATATTAGTAATATACTAAGCTTTCATTGTTGACAATAAAAACTAAACTTAACTTTTGGGAGTTCTGATTATTATGGTCTATATAATAAATCAAACATACACATTATTAGATTTAAACACACAGCTTAAAATATGTTCTAGTGTGTTAAGTTGTAAATCAATAATTGGATAATCATTCATGCAATAAAAAAGTGTTATACCTATAACGGCTTTAGTGGTTGATCAATTCGTTTTTCACCTTTTCTTTGTCTCTCCCCTCTTCATTTATTTATGTTTACAGTTTAACGAACCCAAACAAATAGAACTCTAGTCATTGTAGTAAAAAACTTACCCCAATTTAAACATGGCAACAAAACAAAACAAATAAGTAATCATTTACTATTATATCTTGTAGAAGATAAAACCTGACTTGAATAACATTTCATCAAATTTGGTAGTTAATATGTTCAATTTTGAGGAAATGAAGAGATGAATGAATGGATATGCAAAGTGTAAGCAAAAATCATCACTACAAGAAAAAGAAAAAAATCATTGATGGCTCAACCCATGACTAGTGGGTCAATTAAAGGCCCATGACAAAGAACCCATTAAACATATATATTCAACCCATAAATTATTAGAAACGACACGTGTAATTGCACTTCCCGATCTCTCCAATATCATCATATCACCGCCAAAATCTTTGGCGGCACCACCCAGCAAAAAAAAACACTATGGACGGTACATACGTGAACATCACGCGCTTTCTAAACGCGAGTGGTTAGGTTGTTTATCCATTCATTCTTCCGAACTTCTGGTGACCTGTCACCGTATCTCTCCTCTGATTGGCCAATCCAAATTTGAAATAATAATAATGAATTTATTTAAATAGCAACCCCATGATTCTCGGTTTATCAACCAAAAACTTAAACAAGATCTAGACCGTTGATTTGGTGGACCAGATAAAAAATCGAACGGTTCAAATTTGTTCTCTTTGACTCTTTTAATTCGCCGTCACTGAGATATATCATTGAGAGAGATCAACAGCAGACGACGAACGAGGAGGACAAGAAGAAGAAGCTTCTTCTCAGAGAGATCCGTGGAGCAGAATTCTCTCAGGCGGATCTGCTTGTCGGAGCTTTTGTTCATCATCATCAATGGGTGTGTGGGAAGCTTTTCTCAATTGGCTTCGTAGGTAAAGAGCCTTCCTTTAAGATTCTTTCTTCTTCTTCTTCGTCTTCAATCTTATCTTTTCTTGTTTTGATTATCTTGGAACTTTGAGTTTGAGTTTATTGTTGCTTTAATTTGAATTCAAATACCTATTCCGCCGAATTTTGAATTTGTTTGTGTATTTTTTACGAAGAATTTTGAAATTGAAATCGTGTAGCAACCAAATTACATCACCGTAATCAGCTCAGTAGTATTTGAATTGTGGTTTCGTTTTAATTGGGAAAATGTTGATGCTGATTTTTGACAAGTTCTACAAATCATAGCAGATTCTGTATCTTTTAGTTTTTAAAAGAGCAAACTTTAGGCAATTGATGTGATCTTTGTTTGATTTAATTGCCAAAGTCAGGGTTTTTAGGTCATGTAGTGTAGAACAGGTTCTAGAAATCTTAAAATTTCATGAAAGATTGGTTCTTTTGGTGCCTTATTATGTTTCTATGCACTCTTCGACCTGGAAAAATGTGTTTCGATTCTGTATTCATGTGTTTGTTTCGATATGCTTTTTGCAGCCTCTTCTTTAAGCAAGAAATGGAGCTTTCTTTGATAGGACTCCAAAATGCAGGAAAGACATCACTTGTAAATGTTGTTGCCGTAAGTATAGTAATGCTTTTCCTTTTATATTTTGATAATCTCTTGATATTCAGATGATGGTGGTTGGGAATCTGATACCTACACTCATCTTTTTACTTGTTTAGACTGGTGGATACAGTGAAGACATGATTCCCACGGTAAGTGTTACACTACCTCTCTTATCAAATACGTCTTTCACCTGCCTTTTTGGAATAGCGTGAAGAGATTCTCATTTTTTTTTTTTTTATCAGGTTGGGTTTAACATGAGGAAAGTAACAAAAGGAAATGTTACAATCAAACTATGGGATCTTGGTGGTCAACCAAGATTCCGCAGCATGTGGGAACGTTACTGTCGCGCTGTTTCTGCCATTGTGTAAGGATCTTAGTCTCAGGTGTCTCTTCACTTTGTATCTCCCACAATCTGGTTTCATGTTGATTCCATTTCCAGGTATGTAGTTGATGCTGCAGATCCTGACAACCTCAGTGTCTCGAAAAGTGAACTCCATGATCTGTTGAGCAAGACTTCGCTTAATGGTATCCCTCTTCTGGTTCTTGGGAACAAGATTGACAAACTTGGAGCTCTGTCCAAAGAAGCCTTAACAGACGAAATGTATAGCTCTTTCTTCATCTCAACATTCCAGAAAAGCACAATTTTAGCTTGATCTGATTATGTTTTCTACGTCGTTATTGTTGCAGGGGGCTTACATCTCTTACAGATAGAGAAGTCTGTTGTTTCATGATATCATGCAAGAACTCTACCAACATTGATCAAGTCATTGATTGGCTCGTAAAGCATTCAAAATCGAAGAACTAAACTTCACCAAGAACATATATTCTCTCTTCTTGATCTTCTTAGTCTTCCTGTGTTGTCTGGTTGATGATGATGGTGATTGTTGAAGACACAATTTTTCGTGTGTAACAAGAGTTTGTCTTTATTTGTCGTCTTCTGTCTCTCCTTCTCCTGCTGGTCTGGTCTGGTCTTGTTTGGACCAGCCTTGTCTTTGTATATTAGATGTGGATTGTTTTTCTATTCCCAAGGCTTTGCAATTTTGGAAACACATAAACATAAGTGTCTCAATTTTTTAACTTCTAAACGGCGTTCAGTAGGAAGAGAAATAAACTCATGTAGTTTATAATCTAAGGAAATGTACATGAATTAAATCAACCACAATTGTGAGAGGGTCAAATCAACCAGCAAGGGCAGTCTTAAAGAGGGAAATATAAACCTTACACCATTTGTTTGATATTTTACAGAGTCAAATCATCTGTAAAAAAGCAAAACTTAGTGCTCTCCCTCTTCTTCTCTTAGTTGGTATTTTGAGGAGGACCTATTCATTTGTTTGTTTCGATCGATATGATTTTGCAGCCTCTTCTTCAAGCAAAAGAAATGGAGGTTTCTTTAGTAGGACTTCAAAATGCAGGAAAGACATCACTTGTAAATGTTGTTGCAGTAAGTATAGTAATGTTTTTCCTTTTATATTTTCTTAACATTTTAGTTGTTGGTGGTTGGGGAATCTGATATCTACTCTCATCTATCTACTTGTTTAGACTGGTGAATACAGTGAAGACATGATTCCTACGGTAAGTGTTACACTGCATCTTTTACAAAATACGGCTTTCGATCCAAAACCTGTTTTTTTTGGAACAACATGAAGAGATTTCGTCTTTGTGGTTTTATCAGGTCGGGTTTAACATGAGGAAAGTGACAAAAGAAAATGTTGCAATCAGACTATGGGATCTTGGTGGTCAACCAAGATTCCGCTTCATGTGGGAACGTTACTGTCGCGCTGTTTCTGTGATTGTGTAAAGATCTTAGACTCAGGTTTCTCTGTTATCTTTATTGCTCGGCTTATTCACAATTTGGTTTCATGTTGATTCCAATTTCTAGGTACGTAGTTGATGCTGCAGATCCTGACAACTTAAGTGTCTCGAGAAGTGAACTCCATGATTTGTTGAGCAAGACTTCGCTTAACGGTATCCCTCTTATGGTTCTTGGGAACAAGATTGACAAACCTGGAGCTCTGTCCAAAGAAGCCTTGACAGAAGAAATGTATAGCTATTTCTTCATCTTAACACTCCGAGAATAGCACAAAAGATATATCTCATTTAGCTCGATCTGATTATGTTTCTTGCATTGTTTTTGTTGCAGGGGGCTTAGTTCGCTTACAGATAGAGAAGTCTGCTGTTTCATGATATCCTGCAAGAACCCTACCACAATTGATCAGGTCATTGATTGGCTCGTAAACCACTCAAAATCAAAGAACTAAACTTCACCAACAACATATATTCTCTCTTCTCAAGTCTTCCGTTGTTTTCTGGTTGATGCTGATGATGATTGTATTGTGGAAGACAACTTTCGTGTGAAACAAGAGTTTGTCTTTGTTCTGCAGCTGTCTCTGCTGGTGGTCTGGTTTGGTCTTGTCTTTTGTGTATTACATGTGGGTTGGTTTCTTTTCTTAAGGCTTTGCAAATTTAGAAACAAAAACATAAGTGGCTCAACTTTCAACTTCTAAAATTCCAAGGAAAGGGAAATATGCTCTGTGTACAATCAAAGGCTTTATTTATATCTCTTCAAACCAGTTTCAAAGTCAGTCGCAAGAAAACCTAAAAAGTTACTAACAAAACCAGATCAACAGAAACAAGAAAAGGAACAGGTTTTACATGATTATCTGAGTTAGAAGACACTGTTACTGAACAAAAACACTGCAGCGATTATAAAATATTGCTTTAGATGAAGATATATCAAAACGATAATATCAACCGATACAACATCAACGATTTTTCTTAATTCTTACCGAGTTTGGCTATGCATCCTATACTTCAAAGATTTCATCGCTGCTTTTGCAAAAATATGGGCAGCTTCAGCTTTGGCTTCTGCTTCATCTGCCTCTCTTGCTGCTTCTTCAGCTTCTGCGATTGCACATTCTGCTTCTGCCACGGCTCTTGCCGCGGCTGCAGCAGCTTCTTTTTCTGTCATACCCATTATCATAAGATTTTTGACGCCATTCTCCTCGGGTTTCGGAGTATTTTCCTTGTTTCCTTCCAATAAGAGTTGAGGAGACCTTTGTCTTGCTGCTTCAGCCATATAATTCGGAGAAATCCTGTATTTGTGCTTTTTCTGAAAGGTGAGAACAAACGCGAGAAAACCATTGTTAAGTCATTGAAAAATATGTGATATTTGCAAGCGTAAATTTCGATCAAAGTGTCTCTTCTTTTACCTTAACTAATGTTCCAACATTTGTCAAATACTTTAGTCTTGACGTCACAAGCCGTTTCATATCCGGTTGCATCTTGAAATTCTCCTGAAAATTTACAGCAACACTAAGACCTTGATGATTGTATATAGATGCAGCAAGCAATGCCTAATTATATACAGACACAACAAATAAACACAGAAGGAAAACTTCATTGTACCTCTATATACATCAAGATCGACTTTCCATCAGGACCAAACGGTCTCTTCAAGTTGGTAATGGCCTCCAATATAATCTTATCCACACTACAACAAACACATTACAACTCAGATCTATCTTCAACAGACTTAAACTAAAATAAGCCTCTATCCTCCATTATATTCCTCACTATTCCCATATTCCACATTCACAACATCAAAAATTCACACAAATACAAGAAGAGAGACCAAACCTTGTAGAAGGTCTTGGTGGTTCACAAGAACCTGCAGGAGGAGATGGTGCATAAATCTGTTGTCCTCCTCCATCACCATTAGCTAAAGACACAATGGTAATAGCTGTAGCGTTATCGTCTTGCCTAGAACCCGACAAAGGAGTTCTTTTAAGAGCAAGCTTAGCCTTCTTCCTAGATCCCCACAAAGCTGTTACACTTATATTCCTCCATTTGTCCTGTAGACAACAATGTAAGTTTCTAACTTTCTATTTAGTCTCTCTTCTCTTTCAAGTTGTTGATCATTTTACCTTGAGATCCACATTGGAACGAGACTTCAAAATTGAGCTATACTCAGGATCTGATAGAATGGTACGCCATTTACCAGTTCCATGTTTAAGTACTCCAGCTTTAAGAGCTGTTTCTTCTTCTGGTGTCCACTTTTGCTTTGGAGCTCCCATTCACACAATTTTATCACAAAATTCAAAACTTCTCCAGAAACACACACACACACCCAACAAAAACTTCTAATGTCTTGACTTCAATTCTCTGTAAACATCACAAAGATCAAAACTTTATAATCGAGAAAACAAATGAGACGGTAAGAGAATGAAATCTTGTTAATTGCATTAGAAATTCAATAGAAATGCGAGAGATTACGAAGCCAAGCAAAACCATCCTCAGCATGAGAAAAGATTAAAGCTTTTTCGATCATGGAAATTAGCTAGGAGAAGAAGAAGACATGCCTGAGAAAGCTGAAGAGAATGAGAGAGGAAGCTATGGAGAGTGTCATGGATCAAATTTTGAATCTTGTCGCAGAGACAAAGGAAGAAGACACAAAAACTTGACCTTTTATTTTTTCGATTTAGCAGAGCTACGAAGGTTGATGATGTATCGATTTTGGGGTGCTTGACTTAGGAGCCCTTTTATTATCCTTCAATTTACAAATTCGTCTTTTACTTTATTTAATTACAAAAACACACCTATTTGATTTTTTTACCTTTAGGGATTAATTTATGAAATTATATTAACTATTGCGAGGTGAAGATTAAGATTATATATATGATTTAATTAATAGTAATCTTATAAAATTGACAAATTGTACATTGACAAACCGACAATGAATGGTGGATGTGGCATAAAAAAGTTTGAGACAAATATGTAAATATTTTCAACTTACTGGACCGTAAGGATAAATTCATATAAGTTTGATTGCTTATGCTAATTCTCATCTACAGTTAGGCATGTCAATCGGGCTAGCCCGGCCCGGCCCGGCCCGAAGCCCGCAAAACCCGTACATATTTGAGCCCGGCCCGGCCCGGCCCGTAAAAATTCCGAGCCTATATTTTAAAGCCCGGCCCGGCCCTAACAGGGCTACAGGGCTTTTTCGGGCTTTTTTGGGCTTTTCTTCCGACAACAAAAAAACAAACTTATAAGTTATAATATCTCTTAAAAAAAAATCTATATATGAAACGAGTCAATCAAAATTTAAATAACCACTAACGCTAATTTAGTTTTTAAAAAAGAGAGTTAAAATAAAATAAATAATCCAAATAAATTGTTTAAACTTATACTAGATAAAATATAAATCAAAATAATTCAAATTAGGTAGTAGAGCTAATATTTGCTTTTTCGATTTATAGTAATACACAACAAAAAAACTATGTTTAGAGTTTTCAACTCTATCAAACACTTTTTTTACAACAAATCTTACAATTAAAGGAAAATATTAACAAAAAAAAGATCAAAATATTTTTTAAAGGGCTTTTCGGGCTAGCCCGAGCCCGGCCGGGCTAAGCCCAAAAAACCCTTTAGCCCGTACGGGCTTAGCCCGAAAGGCCCGATATTTTCTGGACATATATTTTTAAGCCCGAATCCGCTGTTTTTCAGGGCTGGGCCGGGCTAGCCCGCGGGCTTTGGCCCTAATTGACATGAATGGCTTTTATACAAAAAGTGACAAGACAACACACTTTTTACATATACAAAAGATGGGTACATGTACAATATTACCCTGAATCAATCAATAGTCATACAAATGAACAAGATCTCTCAAGTCAAATTCGGATTTCATAACAAAGTATAAAAATAAACCCAAAACGTGGACACACATAACCAGAAGAAGAGATCTAAAATGTTATATCAAACACGTCTTTTAAACATTTTGACAAAATACAATGGCATCCTCAAGACGGTCAACGGCAAATATCAGCTCATCCTCCGATCAAAAGCATGCTTCCAAGAGACAACAACAGCAGAGCATAGCCAAACTGTAGTAACAAATACACATATTTATAAGTACCAAACATATAGACTTTCAATATCCATATTACTGCATACCAAAACTTATAAGTAATGAACAAAAAAATGTATCATTTAGAAAACTATATTAATGTAAAAAAAGAGAGATCATAGAGAGATATTGGGTCAACGCACCATCCTTCCATAAAGCCTGAATCCTTATCTTTCTTCTTTTTCGGCGGAGCCTGACCATATTGCGGCGGTGGAGGACCTTGATAAGGATACTGTGGTGGAGGACCTTGAGGATATTGCGGTGGAGGATAGCCTTGCGCTGGATATCCTTGACCGTACCCTTGCTGTGGTGGAGGATAACCTGCTGGAGGATATCCCGCCGGAGGATATCCTTGCGGTGGATAACCCTCCTTAGGAGGATACCCTGTAAAACAACAACATCAAAACTTAAGAAACAAAAATACCTAAAAAAGTTAGAAAAAAAAGGTTTAGGAATTACCTTGAGGAGGAGGAGCACCAACGGGATGTTGTGGATCTTGATAAGACATCTTCTTCTTCTTCTCTGTTATGCTCTTATCTGAGGTTTATTTCTTTCTTTATAACGAAGCCTCTTGCTTCCTTTTCTTCGCTGTGAATGGAATAATAATAATAGGATTAGTGATAATGATGATGAATAATAATAAAGGAGGTTTAGGAGACAAAAGACATGTTCTCTCCAAGGACTAATCTTAGATCTTAATGATTTTTAAATCGAACTAAAAAAAAAATTGCAAGTGATAGATGACCAACTCACATTTGTGGAATCATTCAAATTAAATTGCTATTGAAATTTCACCCATTAACTAAAAGATGACTTTTTTCTTTCCTACTTTGGTCCTGTTTGTTTCTCCATCCAAATGATCCATCTAGATGGAGATGAAAAATGATGTTTGTTTTTGACAATTTAACAAGCATTTGGATGGATCATCTAGATGATCCATCTGAATGAGTTTTTAAATTTAGGCAAATTTATGAAACTCATTTGGATGAACTTGATTGAACCATTTGGATGGAGATGGTTCATTCAAAAAGAACAAAAGACAGATATACCCTCTTATACAATCATATTTTAAATAATATTATTTTCTATAGATTTCTTATTTAATATTTTTAAAATTACATATTGGAACCAAAAAATACTCTAAAAATCATGAAATCACGGATTATTATTTTACGTCAAAATCGTAAAATCGTGGAATTGCGTTTTTCTGCCAAAAACTGTAAAATCATAATTTTTGATGTAAAATTATAGAAAGCGCTATTCCACCAAAACTGTAAAATTACATTTTTTGCCAAAACCGCAAAATTATTTTCCCCATCAAAACCGTAAAATCATGTTTTCCCGCCAAAACCGCAAAATCATGTTTTCCCGCCAAAACTGCAAAATAATATTTTCCCGCCAAAACTGCAAAATCATATTTTCCCGCCAAAACCGCAAAATCATGTTTTCCCGCCAAAATTGCAAAATCATATTTTCCCGCCAAAACTGCAAAATCATATTTTCCGCCAAATCTGCAAAATTACATTTTCAGCCAAAACCGTAAAATCATATTTTCCTCCCAAAACTGCAAAGTTATATTTTCCGCCAATGGCAAATCATATTTCTTATCATATTAATTTTTCGTTAAAAATCACAAAAAACATATTTTCCCGCCGAAACAGAAAAATTATATCTTTTGCTAAAACCCGCAAAATCATGTTTTCCGGCCAAACTTGTATAATTATTTTGTATATATTTTAATAACTATAAATAATATTAATTTTTATATGTTAAAATAATAATTTATTTAGTTTTTATATGTGATTATTTGTCAAAATGAAAGCATGGGTATTTTAGTCATTTTGGTCTATATGAGATTTAGGATGAATTACAAAATGATCAAACAAAAAAAGATTCATTTGATTGAAATAACAAATATTAAAACAAACATCATTCAAATGCATCATCCAAATGAATCATCTAAATGGACCATTTGAATGTAAATGTAAAATGATGAAACAAACAGGGCCTTTATTATATCATCCATCATCGTCCATTATTCAAATAAATACTAATTTATAGTATTGAGTTTCACATCATTGATGACTATACACACACATGGAAACGTATAATCTTTATTGGTCAAGATCAATTTATGTCAAAGGCTACATTTTGTTGATTTATATATCTATCAACTTTTACGCTTTGTTGATTTTACTATAATGTACATTAATAAATCATACTGTAGTAATTTTCCACAAGAAAATACATAAGCAAGGCTTGTTGCTTTGTTCACAAGCGACCTATGATAAAAAAACAATTAGTATCTATTGCGTATTACAACATTTGTACTTTGCAAAGTTACAAGAATCTCTACACTCTCCTACTATATATAGTTGAAGAAAATAGAAAGACGACATTTCCTCTCTATTATATCATACATCTTCTTCCATTATTCAAATAAAAATACTAATCTACATTGAGTTACAAATCATAGATAACTTGTAGTCTTGTACACATGGAAAAAGTATTATCTTAATAGATCAAGATCATTTTTTTGCCAAAGACATATTGTAAAAAGTTAACATTTTGTTGATCAAAAACAAAAAAAAAAAAGAATTTTACAAATCATTCATCAATGAAATTTTTTCTTCACAAGAAATGTAGAAGGGATGTTTGTTGCTTCGTACACAACCAACCTAAGAAGAAACAATTAGGGTTATTACAACAATTGTGCCCTAAAAAGTTACAAGAGTCTACACTCTGACTGGTTCAAAAGTTACCCTAGCTGCTTGGTTTTCAGAATCAGAGGAACCATCTTCGGCGCTTGACAGTATCACCGAATTTACTGGACGATTCCTTTATCGGATTTACGCTAATTCTTGTAGCATTTTTCACCGCCCATTCGCCGAAACCGGGTGAAGAAACCAATTCCTTCAATGCCTTTTCCGTGCTCTCTTTAGTGAACTTTTCCAACTCTTCATTCGTTAGCTTTCTTCTCCCTTCTGGTGTTTTGTGGAATGACGACGGGAATATATCTGAATCAGATAACGGTATTGTCCTGGACATCTTGTTGGAACCTGCAAAAACCATTTACAGAAGATAACCGGTTCTTCAAGAACATTACAAGATAAAGGGATTAGTATCAATCAAATCAGACCCCTAGAAACATACAAAAAGAAAAGAAAAAAAAAACCTCTAGGAAGAGGAGAAGCAAACGAAGTAGCATGGATAAAGCCGAGGCTATAACACTCAGTTTCATCATCTTGCTCATAGATTCTTTGAGCTAACAGCTTTCTGCTGATACTCTTTAGAATCGATGAGATGAGAATTCCAGAAATCAACGCTCCTCCAGCAAGCAATGGATCTACAGAGCTCTGTTAATTTACACAAGATCATGACTTTCAATCCCCAAAAGGTTTGGCTATAATCAAAGATGAATCAAAAGCAAAAGCAGAAAAAAAAACGAAGTACCTGAAGGATCAGAACCACAGCAAAAGCTCGGATGGACCAAGAGACAAAGATTGTTGTACCAGTGTCAATAGAACCATCGTTTGTCACAACAAACTTCTTTACAGTCCAAAATCCTGACCATGCTCCAAATATAAATACAAACACTACCAAAACAATCGCCAGCTGCAAATTTTACATAAGCCGTTTAAGATTCATCAAACCAGAATATGCATATGTGACAAAAAAACAAGTATCACAACTTACATACAGGGATGTACAAATCTTCATTGATTCCTATCTGCATTAGCAGATCTTGAATTAAACCGCGTATGCATTGAAGAAAGTAACCTCCCACACCAATCTTAGAAGATAAAAAAAGGCTTTGTTTAGTAAATGTTCGATAAAAACAACAAAAGAAGTCAAAGAGAAGACAACTTTCACCATAGAAGAGTAGAGAAATAGCTCAAGCCGACTCTTCCCTCCAGTTGGTAGACGCTTTATCCCCTGTTCACAATCGTTTATCGCGTTAACCAGAGAGAAGCCATGAGAATTATAAGCAAAATTATTTGATATTGTTTTGAAGACTTTTACCTGATTGATGATAAGAGTTACAAGAATGATAATCCCAATAGACATGGCACCAACATAGTAAAACACTACTGATTTGCTAAGTCTAGAAGCCAAACTCAGTAACACTATCCCCATGATTAAAAACACAATCCGGTACATGAAAAACTCTGCAAATACAAACTCGATCTTGTTTAGTTTTAAAATTTGCAAAACACATAGATATAACACTAAACAAAGACAAACTCTACCTTGCTTAGCAACCAACTCCAAGGTAATGACATTAGATGAGCCACCAAATGTTCTTATATCAAGAATCTTAGAGTCAAAAGGTGACATTATCGCAACCCAAGGTAACCCTTTGGACACTCTCTTCCACTGACCATGAGGACACATTCCAACTGCACGCGACGAATTCCTATAATCAACAAGAAGTAAACATTTGGATTTTAGCCAAATGCATGCCTAAGATTGACACATACAGATACATTCTAGATTTTACCTGTGGAAACAAATGTCTATACTGTTGGAAGCATTATTACTCAAAAGGGTCAACTTTAGTGAATGTGCATATTTATCAATGTGCTTAAGTCTTCTTTGTAATCCATGGATATGTAATCTCTCACATATCGATGTTATACCAAGAGAATCTATCACCTCTGTTCTTGGAGTTACTTGTAGTGAACCAGTTTCATCCACAACTGCCAATAAAGAACAAAATTGAATCTTTTTTGGTATAACTCTATTGAAAATTTCTTAATTATGTAAAAAAGGTTTGAAATTTGGTGATTCTAAGCTGAAAAATTCGAGTCACAGACAGAACAAAACCCTAAAAGTCTAATTCAATTCAGACACCATCTTACCGAAGACAAGTTCATTGGAGGAGACAACGGAGAAGAAAGTGAAGAGGTTGAGTAAGAGAATCACGACAATGAAATTTGAGCTTCGGACAAAGACTGATGAGTCACTCATCGATTTTACTGGGTTTCTTGTTTTTTTTTTTTTTGGATGAAGAAATCGTATGGATTAATAAAAAAATTAAAAGCAGTCACATATATAAATAAATTAATCCTAAAATTAAAAGCAGTCACAAAATAAGCTTAACAATAAACAAATGACATAAAAATGATTAGAAAGTGAAACAATGCATAATCCTGTCAAGCTTTGTGACACATTCATTCATCAAACAGTAACAGCAAGAACTTTCTCTAAAACACATGTTGAAGGTACGGTAAGCACATGACCAAACCACTCAACTTCTCCCCAAATTTTACAATTTCCCCGTCTTTCAAGCGCAATCTCCGCACACCAAATCTTATTCTTCTTGCCGCCACTATAAGATGATTCATCGACCCATAGAACCGCTATCTTTCCACCATAATCAGCCAATTTAATACAAGCATCATGAGAGAACTTAGGTAGCTTTACCAAACCCTTCAAACTGCTCCACAATCTTTTCTTAGTGTCATACCATTTTATGGCTCCGTGAAAAACACAGTACAAGACGTTGTCTATCTCGCAATGAGAACCCGAAAACTTAAAACATTCCATTTTTTGTTCAACCATGTCCCATCTACCTTCCTTGCAATTGTAAGCAACCACAGCACCCATGTGACTCACCACACCACGCCTGTCAGCCACCACGTGGAACTTTCCGTCAATACATGTGCTTTTGGACCATAAAAAGATGTCTTTTGTCTTGCTGCAAGGGATAGACGACTCAGGATCCCAAGTTTGTGTTTTTTTGTCAAACACCTCAAACAAGTTCTGCAAGGACTCTTTACTTCCTGCTACATATATCTTTCCATCAAGGACGCTAGCAGAAAGTCTTATTGGCTCCACCGGCAAACTTAGAGCCTCGCGCCATGTGTGAGACATGCAATCCAGAATCCAGACGCTAGAGGAGGGCGGCGTTTCGTAGATTTTTCTACATCCGCCAATGTTGTAGATATCAGAACCAACAGCCACGAGACCTGACAAGTGCGCACGAGGAGAATTAGGGATTGGGACTGTTGCCAAAACATACCCACTTGACTTCTTTTTCTTGTTACTGGTTAGGGTTTGATGAGGTTTCCGGCAGAGGGTGAACCAGCTATTGTTTTTAAAAGGTGTCAACCTTAAGCAAACATATAGACAACTCTCCGTGCGTCCCAAGAGTGATCTAGCCTTGTAAAGCTCCGGTGAAGCCAGGAGCGATCGAAAGCTCTTGGAGACGAGAGAGAGAGTCGGATAGTACAATCTTGAGACCCGTGCCACACAACTCAATATCAAATCATCGGGAAGTGACGAAATTAGGATCGATTGCTGCGTAACCGACGGCTTTAGCTTCTTCTTTATCATCTTCTTCTCTTTCATCGTTACCTTTCTCTTCCTCTTCGGTGACATTGACGGTGTCAGCGACAGCGACGGCTTCTTCTTCGTACTGGTTTTCTGACTTTCTCTTATACGGCATGACATGTATATACTCGACGGCATATATAAACCTAGCGAGCTTGTCATATAATTTTGGGTTCGGATAAATGAATCCTGGTTTAGTTTGGATCGGTCGGTTCAGTTAGATATTTTTGCCAGCCATTATAAACAAGAAAGCAACAATTTGGTCTAGCAAAACTACTTAGGATAAATCAGTGTTCAAGAAAGCGCTATGCGCTAAGCGGGCGGTGACCCAATGCCTAGCGCCTAGAACGCTTAATCGGGGGTTAGGCGATTTTTAGGCAGTTTAGACGTTTATAACATAAAACATTATAAATATTAAATTATATATAAAATATCTATATAAAACTAAAAGTTATGAAATTATAAACAAAAACTAGATAAAACATTTATTTATATTTATATTAAACAATATATGAATATTTATAACTATATATATAAATAAAACTCTAATTAAAATTGAAAAAATACATTAAACAAGATCTGTGTAATTTTAGGCGGTCAAGGCGGTTATCTAAGGCATCACATAAGAGCCTAGTGCCTAGTCGGGGCCTAGGCGACCGTCTCGACCTCTTTTTAGAACACTGATAAATAATACTATGCCCATCAGTGAGTACAACAACAAAGCCAATGATCTGTTCAAGCAAGTAATAAAAATCTTAGGGTTGTTTGCTTCGTACACACGAAAACTAAAGACAACAGGTTTAATCCATGATTTATTTGAAAACCTTTTTGCGCCTTTAAAAAGAAACTACGAGAAAATAAGATAAAGGCACACTGAACCAATACTGGATATGTAATCTCTCACATATTGATGTTATAACAGAAAAATTGGATCTTTTTGGGTATAAATCTATCGAAATTGTCTTAATTATGTAAAAAAGGTTTGAAATTTGGTGATGCTAAACTAAAACATTCGAGTCACAGAAAAATTAAAACAAAACCCTAAAAGTCTAATTCAATTCCGACACAAACTTACCAAAGACAAGTTCATTGGCGGAGACAACGAAGAATAAAGTGAAGAGGTTGAGGAAGAGAATCACGACAATGAAATTTGAGCTTCCGTTAAAGACTGATGAATCACTCATCGATTTTTCTGGGTTTTGTTTTCTTTTTTTTATGAAGAAATCGTACGGGTTATTAAGAAATTTGAAGAGTCTCATAAATAAATAAATTCATCCTAAAATTAAAAGCCGTCACAAAAGAAGCTTAACAAAAAAACAAATGACATAATAAACCCAAAAAAAAATTCAAAACCTTCCTAGAGGCTTATTTTTTTGGTCAACAGATGGTTTTTCTATTGTAAAAATCTCGCATTTACCATAATCAAGAAAAGAGTCTTCTTCTTGAAACTCATCATCATCACAAGAAACCTCCTCATCGATTCTTCCCATCACAACAACGCATCTATAGTTCCTCCGATGATCCAACGACAATGATTGTCTCATTGCCAACTCTTGATCATGTGCCGTTGACGTCAAGGTAAAGCTCCGGGGAAGGGCGGTGCTAGGCGGATCGCATATTTGGAAGTTTCCGGAGAGCTGACCAAAACCGGAGGATCCACCACCGGTAAGGATTCCGGCGGAGCATGAAGTAATGCTACGTATATATGCGTCACGTGCCATGATCAACAAACGAAAAGGAGCCTTAACCAACCATACGAAGCAATTTTCTTTCTCTATGCCTTTCCCTTTCATTATTGGATATTTGGATTCTCAAAGAGTGTCCAAATCAAAGTGATATATGTAACATGTATATATAAACTATATATAATAGATTTATGCGGAATCGAAAGAGACATTAGAGTCACTAAGACAGGATCGAAGAGAAGACAAAGTCCATGATGACTGTTATATATATGATTTTTTTTTTTAATTTAATTTCATTAAAACTTCCCAAATGGGCTTGGTTTCATCCTTACAAAATATGGTATACTTACGAAAAGCCCAATAAAAAAAAATTCCGGCGACGGAACTAAAGGATCGGACCCTGGTCGACTACACGGTGGCCGGAGCATTATATCCGGTGAACCCAAAATCCCCAACTTCACGGCAACCTCAGTAGATCGAAGAAACACAACCAGAAGGGTTCAATTTCCAATCGCGTTCTCTTTTCACCGAAACACCAGATCCGCCAGATATCTTTCGAAAAGCTAGCTACCGCGATAGCCGGTTCTACGGAGTTGAATCCCGACCGAGCAACCTGACCCATAGGTCTATCATCTTCCTTCCTCCGGTCCGGTAGAGGTGTTACTACTTATATATGATCTTTTTACAACAAAATTATGAATGGATGATTAAATACATTTCTTTCGGTTAGATGTTTAAATTTATTAAGGTGTTGTTGGCAAATCAACCTAATTTATTTGATAAAGTATGCACACCAATTAAAATCTGGAAAATTTAAGATAGGTTTGTTAGTACTAAGTACTTAAAAGAGTATGAATGGCTTGGTTTCAACTACTTTCTTCAAAGCATGTCATGGCTTAGTATGATCGTTCGGCCCATATATTAAATTTGACCCAATATAGACCCAATTGTTTAGCACTGTTGTTTGTAATTAATACATTACTCTAATCCACTATTGAATACTACAAAATTGATTATTGATTGAATCCCATTGTTTGGGATTAATTTGGTTCAAAAGACTTTCATGTGAGGAGATCACAAATTAATTGTTATCGAGGTTTGGCCATTAGTCTAACTTATCTAGAGCGACAGATTAAAATCCTAGATTGTAGGTTTCGAAAAAGCTTGAGCGTTTACGAACAAAAAACTCTCGGTATCGTTGAATCCATACGTCATATAGTGTATAATTTAATTACAAAAGTATAGGTGCCTCATGCATGTGTATGTAATATGTACATACTATATAGACATAGATTTGGGGGTTAGAGCGTCACGACTCACGTGACAGTCCAAAGCTAAAAAATGGCTAAAGAATCGAAGATAGATAAATAATAGAATACGCGTAGCAATGCAGTATATACCTTTTTTATTCCTTCGTGCTTCAACTTTTGCATTTTTAAAAAGATTGTTTCACACTTCTTTAACGTTAAAATATATTAGCTAAAATGCTATAGATCATATGCGTAGCAATGCATTATGTGTATTCATGATGTCATGGCCTCGATTAGTAACACCGCGAATGACGAAACGGTAGAAAGGGAAAAATATGGTAGAAAAGCAAGGAAAATGTAATTTGATTAGAACAATGTGATGGTTGAATTAATTTGTTAATTTTCATTAATCTTGATTCTTGCATAATCGACATACGAATTTTCTTGCCTTTTATTAGTCCCTTCTATATCAGTAAACTGATTTTCTTTTAAAATATATGTTTTGAGTCTGCTATGCCACAATGTAATATCATATATTTTAGACACAAATTGAACTTTTTTCCGAAATGATTTCAACTTGATACAAGAATATTTCTATTGCATTACAGTCATCATCATTGTAAATTGATAAAACAAACCTCATTACCTACAGTGACATTCTTTAACTGTCAAGATTCTCATAGAAGTCATCAAGTTCTTTTACATAGTTGAACTATATATATCTGACATATCCACAAACTTGCTACCATCAAAATTTATGAGTGGTACACTGCCAATCCAATATACCATCGAATTAGTATCATTTCCTGTAGTTACTTTTCCTCACATTCTCCAAAATCACAAACCACTTGATTGTTAAGGTTATATGATGATGAATGCAACATGTGGTTAGAATTCACTCATCTCGATCAAGTCGAAGACTCTACTTGATCAAGTGTCTTTAGAGTCAGTTTACTACTACATAAATTAAGAGCATTTAGCCTATAGTTTCTCCATCCCCAGTTTCAGCGATTGATTATACGTTTTGTATACAATGTAAATCGTCTTGGCCCAAACAAAAACTATAATCATGAAACATAACTACCTCTTTTGAAAGATAGTGTCTACCAAGACTACCACTTAATTGGTTAGTGTCAGTTCATTCTTTTATTTTTTGAAACCTTCTAACTCAACAAGTATATATGTTTGCAGAAACATAAAAGTATAAAACAAGTTCAACAAACCTATTCAAAACTGTTGATTCCAACAAGGAAAATACGACACACAGTAGTTGAATTATCGTCACTTCGTTTTCATGAAATTGTTACGCTTTTATTCGTAGGTCCACCTCTAGTCACCACCACTCACACCAGTCATTAGCACTCGGGTCCGTATCACTTACTTAATAACCAACAAGAGAAAAACATTCATTACATGTTAAATCAATTTTTATTTTATACTATAGTTATTGTTATTAAATTTTTATAATATCACTATCAATCTCCCATCCCAAAGTCTATAAAAACTTGATTACAAAACACGTCATATCACATTTAAACACTTGCCGGTCCACTTTAGTATATCATCTTAGTTTGACTAGAAAAAAAAAAAAATTCATAGACACAAATTTTTGTTTTATCATTATCATCAACTCTGAAAATCATTTCATTTGAATCTGCAATTTTCATTTCAAAATTGGGTCCAGTTAGTAATTAATATAAATTTATTATGATATATTTTCAAATGAAAATAAAAATATTTGTTTGGACAGCAAACTTTGCAGTTATGGGTCAGTACTCAACTGCAACAAAAACAACACATGGTCTCTCTTACAGATCTCTATCTCTTTCTCTATCCCCACTCCCATCAATTTCAAGTTATTATTAAATTATCTTGATTTGGTAGAGAGATTGTTAAAATTTGTATGCAATTTTTTGAAAAACAATTAATTAATGTAATCAAGGTTGGGTGGGGAAGAGGCAGATGTGGACACGTGGTGGGCTATGAGTGGGTAAAAGGAACAGTCAAAGGGACAAAGAGATTAGACCCGGAGACGATCGAGGCTTTTAGTCAAAGCAAGACACTGTCACGGTCAAATATTATGTCTAGCTGGCACTTTTGTTTGTGGTCCCCACCTCACTTCTCGCTGCTTTTTTTTTTCTTTTTTAATTCCTTTTAAAAAAAAAATATTTACTTAATTCTTGTTAAAATGTAAAAAAATACTGTATATTTACTTAATTCTTGTTAAAATGACAAAATAGTATTGCACTTTTGATTATTTATTTATTAATAAAAACAAATTTCGAACTTGCAAGAATATGATCAATAGAAACTGTACGATTATGGAATTTTTCTTTTTCAATAGTTATTAATCACAAAGTCTATAAAAATTAGAGATACTGCCAAAATTGATACTGTAATTTTTTTCTATTATACTATTTTTAACTATTTAATATAGTGTACCCTTTTTCAGAATTTTTTTTTAATAATTTTAAGGGAAAATGTTTGCCAGCTACATGAAAGAGACGTCATCACATAGTCACACATGCAAACTTTAAAAATGTCTCATTAGCTACACGAACTATTGCTATCACATACAGACATCCCCGAACTAACATAAGTCATGTTGCCAACACCATAACCATCTAATTCCAGTGTACCGGTTGCCGGAATCTGGCGTTGACCGGCATTGACTGATGTTGACCGGCGTTGACCAAAAATATGTTTTTCTTTATATTTTTTTTTTGATAAAAAGAAATTTTTTAAAAAATATAATTTTACTTAAAATATAACAAAATATACCATAAAAAAAGAAAATATATATTTTGTTATATTACCAAAATTTTATTAACAAAATAAAATACAAATTTTTCTTGTGCTATATTTTGTTATAAATTTTGGTAATATAACAAAATATATCTTTTCCTTTTGGCAATCTTCTTTTGAAAATAATATATGACCTTTGATATATATATATATATATATATATATATATATATATATATATATATATATAACATGTAATTGAAAGTATATACCAAACTCACATATATATATATATATATATCTTTGTAAAAACCACAAATCAAAGCATATATTATGATGTTTATAAATTAAAGAGAAACAATGGAGAAAAATGAATTTATATACTTTCATTTTGTTAATAAAATTTTTGTAATATAGGAAATTTTGTTAAAAAATGTATATTTCGTTATATTACCAAAATTTTATAACAAAATATAGCACAAACAAAAATTCATGGTCTATTTTTTGGTATATTTAGTTATATTACAAAAATATATACCAAAAGTTTGTTATATAATTTTTTATGGTATATTTATTTTTGGTATACTTTATTTAATTTTTAATAAAATTATATAATAATTTTTTTTTGCAAAATTCTTTTTATCAAAAATAATTAAAAAGAAAAAAAAATATTTTTTGAAAATATTTTTGGTCAACACCGGTCAATGTTGGTCAACGCCGGATTCCGGCAACCGGTACACTGGAATTAGATGGTTATGGTGTTGGCAACATGACTTATGTTAGTTCGGGGATGTCCGTATGTGATAGCAATAGTTCGTGTAGCTAATGTGACATTTATAAAGTTTGCATGTGTGACTATGTGATGGTGTCTCTTTCGTGTAGCTGGCAATCATTTTCCCTAATTTTAATCGAATTCATAAATAAGAGAGATAAAAGAAGGGTATTGGTAATTTGGTATAACACAAATGTAGTTGCTTTGATGGTGTTAATAAATAATAACGATGATAAGAGTGAAATTTAAAAGATTAATTAAGAAATTAAACATAGAAATTATCGTCACACGTGCCCGACCTGTACGGGTTACTCTTCCCCGTGGGTGTTTGGAGTTTAGTGCAAAACTTATCAGCTTTTTTGACTACGTTGCGGGATTTTCTTTACTCTTTCATTTTTACCACTTTACCCTCCTTTTTGTTTATCCTTCACAAACATCTTTTTAAAAAATAAATTGAGAAAGTATATATCTTTAGTTAGCGTGGATATTAAGAAAAAAAAAGCTAAAAAAAGAGGATTTAGAATTTCACTGTTGTCTTTTGAGTTTTTGACTACTTAAAAGGATATTCCGGTTTTAAATCCAAAATATTTATCAGAAAATTTTAAACTATTTTCAGTCACATACCTAAAGTGTTTTAACCGATTATTCCACAATTTTTTGGGACAATTACATCTCCTGGCTGAATTAATTTTTTTTCTAAGCTTTTGTGGAAATTTTCTTAATTCTTTATTATTGGGAGTGTTAAAAGAATTTTCTTGGGTGCCTTTATATTACGTTTTAAAACTAAAAGGTAGGGACAAAATTGGAAATTACAATAATTAAACTGAGTTTTTCAATGGTAATTAAAAAAGGGAGTATTATAATAAAACCGGGAGCGGGAGGTGAGGGCATGTGGTTTAGCTTGCACGTGTGGTACGCGAGTCGAGAGGACTAAATGACCGGCTATAACCAGTGAATTCACCGGTCACCTTATCTTTAATTTTTTTAGATTTTCCACCCGAATCTTTCTAGAAATCTTTAATTTCTACCCTCTTTTCTCCTTTCTTATTTTTTACCCATTTTTTTTTCTCTCAAAGAAACAAAAACAAAACAATCACTCACACTACCTCACAAGAAGGTAAACCAAACAAAAGAGAGAGTACGGGTTTCTTCGTCATTCTCACGAATTCGTGAATTTTTTTTTGTTTTCGTCATCTGGGTTTTCTCAAATTCTCTTCCTTTTTATCTTCTGAGATTTTCTGGTTTGCAAAGTGCAAACCTTTTGTACTGGGTTCTTTGATTTTTTTTTTTTTTGTTCCTTGTCATTATTCTTCATGATTTCTCCTTTTTCTGTTTCTCGAAATTTGTGGTTATAAAATTCACATTTTTGAGAGCAGTTGGGCTTCTTCAATCATGTGTTTATGATGTTTTATTATTAACAAGAGTTGAATGAATCTTCTTTTTGACCGTTGAAAAGAGAGAAAACAAAATTAAAGCAAAAGGAAAGAGCAAGAAGAAGAAGAAGAAGATTGTGTTGTTGTTTTAACGCTTCTTTGTTAGATAAAGACATGCTTTTCTATCAAAGGCATTATTTTCCCAAATGTTGTGAGTTTGAGAAGAAACGTTTCTAAAAATTGGGTTTTTTTTAGAGAGATTTTGTTTCTTTAGATTCTTTGGAAATGCCGATGTTTCAGCCGTTAAAGAGAGATGGGTTAATAGGATTTGAAGGAGGTGGTGATGGGCAAGTCTTAGATCTGGATACGGCGGTGAAAGATGGAGTTCTCGGTGGTGTTAATGGTGGAGTTGTTGATGAGAAATTGGATCTGAAGAAGATGATAAAGGAGCTAGATTTACAAGATATACCTTCTGTTTTCATTTGTCCCATCTCGTTAGAGCCGATGCAAGATCCTGTGACCTTGTGTACTGGTCAAACCTATGAAAGGTTAAACATTCACAAATGGTTTAACCTAGGTCACTTGACTTGTCCTACTACAATGCAAGAGCTTTGGGATGATACGGTAACTCCTAATAAAACTCTTCATCATTTGATCTATACTTGGTTCTCTCAGAAGTATGTGTTGATGAAGAAACGCTCTGAGGATGTTCAAGGACGAGCTATTGAGATTTTGGGGACTTTGAAGAAAGCTAAAGGTCAAGCTAGGGTTCATGCGTTGAGTGAGCTTAAGCAGATTGTTGTGGCTCATCTTATGGCCAGGAAGACTGTTGTTGAAGAAGGAGGTGTCTCTGTGATCTCTTCTCTTTTGGGTCCTTTTACTTCTCATGCTGTTGGATCTGAGGTTGTTGCTATTCTTGTGAGTCTTGATCTTGATTCGGATTCGAAATCCGGGTTGATGCAACCGGCTAAGGTTTCTTTGATTGTTGATATGTTGAATGATGGATCTAATGAGACTAAGATCAATTGTGCGAGATTGATTAGAGGATTGGTGGAAGAGAAAGGGTTTAGAGCAGAGCTTGTTTCGAGTCATAGTTTGCTTGTTGGGTTAATGAGATTGGTTAAGGATAAGAGACATAGAAATGGAGTTTCCCCTGCTCTTGGGTTGCTTAAACCGATTTCGGTTCATAAACAAGTTCGAAGCTTGATGGTTAGCATTGGAGCAGTGCCTCAATTAGTCGACATCTTACCGTCTTTAGACCCGGAATGTTTGGAGTTAGCTCTGTTTGTTCTTGATGCTTTGTGTTCAGATATGGAAGGAAGAGTTGCTGTCAAAGACTCTGCAAACACGATACCGTATACCGTTAGGGTGCTGATGAGGGTGTCTGAGAATTGCACTAACTACGCGCTGTCGATTCTTTGGTCTGTCTGCAAATTAGCTCCAGAAGAATGTTCACCACTTGCTGTTGAGGTCGGTCTTGCTGCAAAGTTGTTACTCGTGATCCAGAGCGGGTGTGATGCAGCGTTGAAGCAGCGGTCAGCGGAGCTACTCAAGCTCTGTAGTCTACATTATTCAGACACCATGTTTATTTCCAAATGCAAACTCACAAGGACAATCCAATAGCGCAAAATGTTAAATCTTTGATCACACGACACATGATTCAGCGGGGTTATCCATGAAATGGTAAATGTGCATTGCGAATCTGCGTCTGCCCTGATGTATATACATATGAAGAGTTTGAAGATTGAGCTATTGGTTTTGGTGGTAACAATTCAAAAGAAGAAGAAATCCGCAGATGGAAACACGGGGAAGATGAAGTAACCGGGCGGGTAAGGGAACGGTATGTAATGTTATCTTGTCGGTTCGTTATGCAATAAGCATTGGGAATTAGAAAAAATGTGTAAAGTTACTGCCTTTGGTTCAATCAATTTCAGAAGAAAAGGGGAAAAAGAAGAATCTGAAGAAAGGAACCATATTAAGTCTCTTATTGTTAACCTCTCGATTTGGGTTCTTGTGAGAGGTTGTTTTGCTTTTTTGACCATTCACAACAGAAAAAGAAAAGAAGCAAAATCTTTTGACCTGAACTTGTAGAGCCTCTTTCAAGCTTTTGAATATTTTTTCTTCATTCAATGTTTTCTTTTAGCATTACTTAGATTATGAAATTAGACAATTGTCATGATTTCATCTTTGTTCTCAATCTCAGCCTCCTTATTGTCTTAAATGTGAAGTAAATACCAAAAACGTGATTCTTGAAAAATCAATCGCTATTATTGCATAGAGTGACATCTCAAAGTACAGTAGGATAAGAATTTGATTCTTGTCTAATAAGTAGAGCACATAAGTTGTGGTGGAGACCAAAAGTCTCCATACATTGGTCTGAACTACTACTGTTGTAATGAACAATTGAAAAGAAAGTGAGATTTGACAAGTGAATCATTCAACAATTTCTACTGTTTTTTTGCGCAAAAACACAGGCTTATATCACTTGTCCTGTTTTGGAAATGAGTCTGAGCAAATCTCTGTTTTGAGTGGGTTTGTGTATAACAAACACAGTGTGATGTGAGAGTTTTTGTCTTGACATAAAATTCTGCAACAGAGTAACAGTGTCCCAAACCTATAGATGGGCTGGATACTAAACCTTATGGGCTTTAGCTACGAAGCCCATTTCATATTAAACGACGATGTTTCTTAGTTTGAATGGTGTCTCGCATACCCTAGCCAGGGCACTTTACTCTTCTAACTTAATCTCCAAGTTTAAGGTGACGATTGATAAGAGAGACTTGAGAGAGATCCAAAAGTATGGATTGAAGAATCTGGTGCTGATCAACCATCTTTAACATCGTTGTCTAAACGCCTAATGCGTTTTAAATGCTGTTTTTCCTCGCCAAAGCACACAAGCATATATCAGTTGTCTTGTTTTGAAACGAGAGTGAGCAAATCTCTGTTTTGAATAAGTGTGAATATCACACTCTTGTGACTTGTGATGCGAGAGCTCATGTCTGGGACATAAAATTCTATAACAGAGTAACAGTGACCAAACCTATAGATGGGCTGAAATTTGAACCTAATGGGCTTTTGCTACGAAGCCCATTTAATTAGTTAAACGACGACGTCTGTTAAGGTTGAATTTTAGCGTCAATGGTGTCTCGTTTAAGGTCGTGGATTAAGATACTTGAGAGAATTGTGAGAGATCTCAAAAAAAAAAAAATGGCATGGTTAGCTAGATCCATTGCGAATTCTCTGAAGATAGATGAGGAAGAAGATGATCAAAAGGAAACGATTAAGACCAATTCAATTGAAGATTCCGGTTCCGATCAACCATCTTCTCCATCGGTGTTGCAATCACAGTCTCCTCGCGGCGTGAAGGAAGACATCTCTGAACTCACCAAGACCTTGAGAAGTCAGCTATGGGGCGTTGCTTCCTTCCTCGCGCCACCGCCTTCTTCTTCCGAGACGGCGGATCATGTGGAGGAGACACGGAAGTCATCGGATCTCGGGGAAGGTGATGAGGATCTGATTGCTGGAATTAGGAACGATTTCGTTGAGATCGGAGGTAGATTTAGGACTGGAATCTCGAAACTCTCTGGAAATTTACCGGTATCGGAATTTACAAAGATGGCTTCGAATTTCTTGCAATTGGGATCGGAAGGTGTGGATTCGAAGGTGCGTGATGTTGCCGTTGGAAATGCAATTGGTGTGACGGAGGAAGTAGTTTTATTTGCTAGGGATCTTGCTCTGCATCCTGAGACTTGGCTTGATTTTCCTTTTCCTGATGAAGATGATAACTTTGATGGTACGTTTTCGAATTCGCAGCACATTGTAATTAGATGTTCTTAAGTACACTAATCTGGGGATTGTGTTTTAATTTGGTGAAGACTAAAGTGTTTTGTTTATTTTCCTGGAATATTTGTTGTTTGTTTGTGTGCTTGAATTTGAAGGTGTTGTTGCAACTTCTTATGTTCAGACTTTGAAATGACTGATGCTCAATATGAGCATGCACTGGCTGTGGAGAATCTTGCATCGAGTCTGGCTGCTTTGAGGATTGAGCTTTGTCCAGCGTACATGAGCGAGTATTGCTTCTGGAGGATTTACTTTGTACTTGTGCATCCTTTATTTAGTAAACATGATGCCTTGATTCTCTCAACTCCTCAGGTTAGCTTGATTCTCAACTCCACTGCTGGTCATTACTGTCTTTTTTCCTCTGTTTACAAAGTTTTTGAGCTATTTGGATGTTATGGCTTATATATCAATGAATGGATGATTCTCTCTGCTAATTATGAACTTTAATAGTAGCATGTGAATTGGGTTTGCAAGTTTGAAATAATAATGGGGAGAAGATTGGAACTTTCTATGATGTGAATCACTGATTTTGCGTTTTCATAAAAGGTACTTGAGTCAAGAGCACTATTATCTCACGAGCTGCTGCATAAGAGAAACAAAGGTACAGTATTGGTGCCAGAGAGTAGTGATACAGGAGCTGATAGTGCGAATGTGGAACCTCTTTCTCAACCTACTAATCCATCACCCAAATCAGATCCAGAACCTGTGAAAACGATCGCTGTCGAAACAATACATTCGACTGAGTCATCTGAGGTTGAGACAGAGAAGCACACAGTTGAGAGCAAGGAGATACAAGTTGTCGATAAGCCTGTCATTGAAGAGAGACCAGCACCAGCGTACCATGACAAGCCGGTGCAGAGCCCAGTCACTGGTTCTTCACCTAGAGTTATTGATGTTCAAGTGGATGATGACGCTGATGCTGATGATTGGTTGAAGGAAGAAGATAATTCAGGAACTGTTAGTGCCACCACGAACCATCTTGTGCAGGATGTGGATGAAGATGTGTCGTTCAGTGATCTTGAAGAAGACGACGATGACGTCCCTGTGAGTTACAAGAAATGATTCCTGATTCCTTCAGACCAAAGACCTAACCATTACTCGAAAAGGCTGGCTTCGGAAGAATAATGTCCCACGGCTGGTCAGGTAAGTTAGACGAAGAAAGAAATCAAACGATGGGGTTGAATGTTGATGACGAACATGGATGCTATATTTGTGATCCTATACGTTTATTAAAATTATGTTTGTGAATAGTTTTTGTAACACTTGCCTTTTCAAAAAAATGCCTGGTTTGTATTGTAAATTAAAAAAAGCACCAAATTGTGATGGCGCAAAAATGTTAAAATTCTCCTATTAACTAATTTTTGAATATAAACCTTTTGAGTATTGAAGCTAATATGGTTCATTACAAATAAAATAAAAAAAAAGAATGTATTCATTGCATGCTACATTATATCATGGAATATTATAATTTGAGGTTAGTTACGGTTTTAGATTGACCATTGTACACATTTTAAACTAGCCAAAATATCTGTTTTTTTTTTATTATTACAAATCTTGAAAAGTGGTAGGCACATTGGTACGTACTACGTAGATCTGGTTAATAATAAAAAGAACAAAAGAAAATGAAGAAAAATGAATCCTCCGAATATATTGGAACTTTGATATGTTCGAAGAGACAAAACATTTTAATATGATGAGATTGGAGGAGCCCGGGAAAAAAGAAGAAGATGCCACGTGGAAAAGAACTCTCTATTGGCGGTGAAAATGAAAAATCTGACTTGCAATATACGCGACGGCTCGCCTCTTCCAAGGCGTTAGCACCTCACCGTCCACGTGTCTGGCTCCGATTTCTGGCTAGTTAAACCTAATTTCTTTCTTCTCATTTTTTTTTGTTTTGTTTCGTTTTATTGACATTGGTAAGAAAATGGCCACCGCCATTATCCATTGGCTTCAACTTGTTAATTCATAATAAAATAACAAACTAATTGATTTAAAGAAAAAATGTGAGGTTATGAATGCAAGGCCGGCCCATTTCCACAGGTCCCAAACGAAGCAGAAATAAATTCCTCTTTTTTTACTCATTAAATTCCTTTTTATTTATTTTTCAAAATCACAGCAAACATATTTGTTTAAGAAAAATGGCAAAATTTTATGAAATTAATTTTGAGATTTTTCTTATGTGTATAGATAATCTACATAGATCCTAAATTAAAATTCGGACAAATCTTTCAAATTTTGTAAACTCTCGAAATTTTTAGCCACTTGATAGTGTAAATAATAATAAAAAATGCTTGTAATATGAAATATGATCATTAAAAAAAAAAAAAAAAAAAAAAAGCAAAGGATCCAGTTTTTTTTTTTGTTTGACAAAAAATCTGGTATAGGTAAAGTAGACAAAAGCCGTTTGATTAAAGTATTATTTTTGGACATGAAAACATATGAATTGGGAAGTCCTATTAATCTTGAGCTCTAATCCACCGCTTCATTTTGCTCTCTGCCGCTGCTCGTGCTTTGAATGAATGATATTTAATGCTTTTTGCTTTTCAGAAAATGTAACTACAGTATAATACTCTTTCTATTTTAAAAAATAAAATATTTAAAGTAAATATATACATTTAAGTTATTTATTTATTTTATTAAAACATCATTTATATTTACTTAAAAAAAATTTCAACCAATCATAATAAATACTTACAAAATATAAATGGTCATAAGTTGTCAAAACATTTAAATTTACATTGAAACTTGTAAAACATCCTATAATATGAAATAAAATAAAAAATTTAAAACATCTAATATAATGAAACATAGAGAGTATTTTTTAAAACCAAATAAAAATATATACAATATTTTTTGTTATTCTAATAGTATTCATTAAACTTTTACATTTTTGATCTAGATTTTCTATAAAGGCTTGTTGAGGTGGTTTTCATTCATCCATACAGTTTTTGTAGAGTTATATGATTGTCTTACTGTAGATTTTTCCCTTTTTTTCTTATAACAAAAAGCTACGGGATCTTTTTTGAGGTCAGGGTTTCCATTTGATGAGAGAAAAACTGCGGAATTTCAGCTTCTACCACCAACCCAATTGTGGTATGTATTACTGACACAACTAAATGTCCATATGAGCAAAAAAAAAACTATGGGCGCATGTAAAATAGTAAGTATACAAAAAAAAATATCGATGGTGTTTACTGTTTATCATATTACTAAAATTTCCACGCATCTACCACGATGACCATGCACTTTCTTGATAATGGTTTTTAATGAGTTTATATAGGAGTATTAAAAAATATTATTTTTGCCCAAAAACCAAAAAGAAAAATCATTTTTAATATGGGATTGAGATTTGACGAAGTTGAACTTTAAAAACTCCATAACTGACTCTTATCATCATCCAACTAAACCCCATGCTCGAAGCCTCGAACCTTCCAATAAAAGACCATATAGATTTCTATTACACGCATGTATTTGTCTCCATCATACCTACTTGATTGTTCTGATCATCAGATAGTTGCAGCCCCAATAATTCACAATCTCTCTTTCTCTTTTGTTACAATTCTGTTAACAACTTTGACGTCACACTTTGAATTCTTATCCAATTCCATTCAATAACAGAATTTTCTCTTTTCTCTTTCTCTTCGAGATTCTTGATTCTCCCACTTCCTTCTTTACTTGTTATAGTCTTGCTCTGTTTTCAAACAAAAAAAAGTTGGTTCCTTTCTCAACTTTTTTCCCGGGAAAGTGAAAGCAGAAGATAAAGTTTCCATTTTTAAGCTTAAGGGTTTATCATGTCTGAGATTCCGGGTATGAAGATTTCTCTCAAATAAAGTTTCCATTTTTAATCTTCTTTGAAATTCTGTAGTTTTATGGATAAGTTAGGGTTGAGCAAAAGGGGTTATTTTGATTTTGCTCTCAAGAACAAAAAATGGATTCTATTAGCAGTAAGTGGTTATGGTGCTTTTAGGGTTTATCATTCTCCTTCAATTTCCCAGAAACGTAAACAAATCTCTAAGCTTTTTACTCTTCTTCTCAATCTCATCGAAGCTGCTTCTGATTCTGCTGAAACTGTTAGTGTTATCTCCAGAGATCTCACTGTCTTTCTCAGATCCGATTCAGATCAAATCCCAAATAGTTTCAAGCAGATTTCGAAAATCGCGAAATCAGATGAGTTTAATTCTTCTTTGATCAGATTCACTCAAGCTATGACTGTTGGATTGATCCGTGGAATTGATGATGGATCCGGGTCGGGTTTTACTGATCGGGTTATGGATAAGCTGTTTACTAAATCCGGGTCGGGTTTTGCTTCGGCGATTGTTGGTAGCTTTGCCAGAAACTTAGTCGTTGCGTTTTATTCATCTTCCAGCGACGGTGAATCTTCAATCTTTTCGAATTCGAAATTGCTCGACGCGGTTTTCTCTGATGATGGGAGGAGATTGATCGGCGATTGCGTTCAGCGTTTCGTGAGTACTGCGGTTTCGGTTTATCTCGATAAGACGAGTGATGTTAACGTTTTCGATGATTTATTCGCCGGTTTAACCAATCCGAAACACGAAGGGAAGGTTAAGCAAACGCTTGTAACGCTATGTAATAACGCGGTTGAAACGTTTGTTAGAGCGTCGCGGAAACCGGTTCAATTGAACCGATCATCGTCATATCAAGATTCATCTCAAACGCTGACCGTTGGATTAAGGAAACAGACGACGTGGATCGATCGGGTATCGTCGTCGTTATCGGTACCGAGTAACCGGAAATACGTGGTGGATTTAACCGGGCGGGTAACGTTTGAGACGGTTAGATCGTTATTAGAAGTGTTGATTGAGAGAGCAAATGGTAAAGTGGAGAGTTATGTGGAGAAAGTGAGAGAGAGAGGAAATGAGACAAGGAGATTTGTGAGAGTTAAAACATCACTTCTTCATAGTTTATGTTTGACTCTGTGTTTACAGATTGTTGAAGCTCCATGGATGCTGACTCCAAGAAACTGATTTTGGATTTTCAGGCTAAAAGACAAGAAACACTTTTGTGTTTGGTTTAATTCTTGGATTCATCAATCAAATTTGATGTAAAATTGTTTTTTTTTTTGTTTTTTTTAAATTTTTATTTGAGGAGATATTGAGAGATGATTGTTTTTGACTTTTTTGGATAGAAAGAAATGGGTTGGTTTGAATGTTTTTTTGGATTTGGATATTTGGATAATGATAAGTGTGGGACATTATTTGTTACACTTTTGTGGATAATATATGGTATGGATATAGTTGCTGAGTAAATGTGGTGACGTGGTTGAGACAAGGCCCATTCATGTTCGTTTATGAGAAAGAGTCAATAAGTAACAAAGAAGTTTCTTGTTATCCAGAAAAAGAAAGTTGATAACAACTCTCATCCTGATTTGGTCTGATCATCTAACTTCAACTTATACTTAGATACAATTTTTACTCAATTTGCAACATTTAGTGTGGCAAAGTATAGGACAATGCCAATTTTGCGTAATCTCAACACAATGAACAATTATGCCATTCAAAATTATCCCATAGGCCATAACAGAGATTATATCATCAGCCCGTAATTCTACAAGCAGCCATTTGTTTTAGATGGAACAATCTGAGGCTAATTCTAAATAATATATGGGTTTTATACCATATACTTATTTTATCCGTAACTTAGAAAGTTCCGGATTGTTGGTTGATAGGTTTTCTAAGTCCAAGACCAGCATTTGCAAATATTTGTGGCGGATCCACATACATAAATTATTTCTTCTCAAACATCTAGGACTCGAATGTGCTTCCAATAACATTGTAACAACGCTCCTTTCCTTATTATGCCTCGTATTGATGATTTGGGAGCGTTAGGAAACAACGAGTCTACGCAATTAGAAAGCAATTGGTGTATGTTCCATACTCGTAAGCCTCATATGATGTGTCCACACAAAGGATCCCCAAAAACGGCCGGTAAAACCATCTCAAAAGGTCCAAGAAGTGCAGTGGACTCATGTTAGAGATCGCGGTAATTGAAGTCGAGGTGGCCGTGGACATCCTGGCTAATAATCCCAAAGTGAGCTAATCTTCATTAGCTCTTTTTCTTCCTCTTCTACATATGTTGTTCACTACCATCTAAACTACTAAGTGGTTGCCAAAACCTTTGTCATACATAAGTGTCAGAAAACAAAGAGATGTGCAAAGCTCACAAACAAATTCCTTGAATATTCCAAGACTGATTGTTTCAGGGCCTTAGCCCATAATTGACGTATCCCATACGATCATGGACCCAATCAAAGGCCCCTGCCTGATAGAGAGGTGCTAGAAAAGTAGGTACTTCACAAGAAAAGTCAACTACTTTTTTTCTCAGTCAACGCGTCTAATTTGATGACAAAAAATACAGCTGGTGGTTACAAGTTACAACTTACAATCAAACTCGGATGTTGGACAGAATCAAATATTTGTTGTGACTTAATATAAACGTTACAAAATAAAAATACTTATAGATATATTAAAACCCATAATTATACATGCAAACGAGCGTGAAAAATAAGAACTCTCAAAGTGACAATAAAAAATTAAAATAGCAATAACAAAAACAAAACAAAACAAAACAAAAAGACGAACAGAAAACAGAAAGTACAGTGATAGGTTTGATAATGTAATTAGTTAATTAATTCCTCTAATACATAGAAATTTAGTGCTTGTGATTCTGAGTGTAAATGTAATCGGTGTGAACAACAAGGCTTCGTCTTATCAAACATTCTTCTTCTCCAATTCCTATGCAGCTTTCTTCTTCAACATTGTCTCCTTCAATTTCCTATACATAATAACAAAATATGGACGTTGATCAGTGTTAATTTTTGAATTATTCCCGGTAACATATATTTAAATAAATCTTGTGATATTATATAGAATCTATTACACGAAACAAATCGGAAGAAATGAAGTAACATCTTAATTAAGGACCATGCATGCAAACTTTATTGTATACTTTAGAATCTTAGACAAAAACTTAGACTAATCTAGGTATAACATATGTATATTCTTCCTTACTATACGCGTGGAACATACTGCTATATATCTTGGTTTTGCAGATATGTTTTGACTTGTGATATTCTACAAAGACATAGAAGTTAACGAACCTTGACGGAGTTTTCACTCGAAGAATCGGTGGTTGTCGTTGGAGTTAGCCTTGCTGCATAAGTTAGTGTTGAGCAAAGAAGGAGAGCCATGATGAAAATGGTTGTGAACTTAGCCATTGTGATTTGCAGAGGAGAGAGATAAGAGAAATTATTAGATGTGAGGATGAATACAAGATGAAGTCAATTAGGTGAATTTATAGTGAAACACGAGTTGACAAATAGCGAGATGCTGCCAAATGTGAACCATAGAAACTTATAAAGGGTAAAGTTAACTACCTTTATGGCGTCATAAAACGATTCATATATATCGCTCAAATTAATTGAATTTTAGTTTTATGTTAATTATATAAGAAAATGCTCTTTTTTATTCATGCCGTGTTAGATTATAAATCTTATGGCCCTACTAAATTATTTGATGTTGTTGCTGTGTGTGAATGATTGCTCAAAAAAGCAAATTATCATGTGACCACGGAAAAAAGGTGACCCTTGGATGAGAACAAAAAAAATATACATTTTGATTTAATTTCGAAGTTGTTTCAAATTGTGGTCAGTGGGTTATTGAAACATATTTTTTGGTTAAAGTTCTTATAAAAAAACATAATATATACTTATAGTATGTTTTAATGCGAAGAAAGTTTTATTTGTGCGCCATGTTTTGCATAAATCAAAATGTTTTGCATGTAATATGAGTAGATTTATAGCCGACCTAAGATGTATAATATAATGTGGAAAATGATCATTAGTCAAATCATATATCTAAATAATAGAAATGTGTGTATGATAAAAGAAATCATTTCGTCGAGGGTTAAAGAAACTTGATGGTGGATATATATAAGTAAGAGCTGAAAAGAAGCTCACCTAATGATTCTCACGTGCAGCTGAATGGAAAAGAAGACCAGTCAGTGAAAACTAAACCAAACATTTTATCAAAAACAGTTGATGGTGTAGTTTTGTAAGGTTTTCTAGAATGTCGTCGAAGATAGAAAACCTCATCCCACGTCATAGTTGAATTGCTTTTTTTTTTTTTTTTGTTTCCACAACCTAGAGTAGTAAGGTACCGATCTATCAAAAGAAAAATAAATAAACGAACATATGCATTACGAGTTACGACCACATATTAGCTATATTAATTTTGGGTGACAATCAACAAAAATGGCTGACATAATAAGATCACAAAATAAATGAAAAGGAAGAAATACTGGACAATCTTTATCGATCAAAAAAAAAAAACACACACATAAAAACGCGCATGGGATAATAAGGCATATTATGAAAAATTCTGGTCAAAAGAATAGGAAAAAGAGGTGTTAGCAAAGTCGTCTTACACTTTTCAAATACAATGAATATTTAATTCCATTCACATTTGTAATTACGTCACACGTATCGTAAGCTTCTTACTTGATAATCTCGATTTGATTACATCTCATATGCATGACACAATTATCTGGTAACGATCAAAAGTTCGTATTGAATCCAGGCTGCTTCAAACTTCGACGATCTAAATTTAAGAATTCTCAACTCTCTGTTAATTCATCATTTGTTGATTATATGAAATTATAAATTATACTACTTAGTACTTTCCTCTAACCATTTAACCCAATTATGTCATGTATATACATTTCAAAACTAGTTAAAATATAATTTTGTCTACGAGTTTGATTATTCAATAATTTTTTTAGTTATGTTTTCATTGTCTTTATGAAATTATTATTGGCACAGGTCTGGAAAATGATAGATTAACTCTTGAATATGGATGGGTTAGTTTTAACAGTTGATAAAACCATTTTTTCTTGGAATATCTGACCCATAAGCGAAGGAATATATTGTTGATAAGCGTTATCGTTATCTTAACATATATATAGTTACTGAAGTTGATCGTCCGAAACCGAAAGTTTAAAGAAGAAGCATTTTCAATAGCTGATTTATTAAGTAACCCAACATTCTTCGGTCAAGATCCGAACTCCAAAATATTCGTCATCATCTGTCTTTTTATCCAACAACGAACATAAACATATATTCTTTTTGCGACATGTATGAATAATTCTCCTCTTTTTTTTCTTGCCATGATTTTCAGATACCTAAGATTTTTTCTTACCAAATTTTCAATAGCTCTTTTGATATTTTCTTACTTACTATTTCAATCGATGTCGTGTCTAGTTTAATATATATGCTAGAAGCTCCGGCTTATCTTTATGTTATTCGAAAAAACCTTATTTAATTGTAGATTAGTGAAGATAAAATTCCATTATTCTAGAAATGACTACGTTGAATTTAGTAAGAATAGAAAGTTCTTGAAGTTAATAATTAACTCATTTCCGTTTTAGTCTTCTAGATTGATTTCGATGAGTAGTTAAGTTAAGGTCGCGCCAAATAGTAATAACTGATTTAATATTCAATGGTCAATACATATACGTGAGAACAATTAAAACCACTTGAAAAAGTGAAGAAAATTATGTTTATCTCAAATCGAAAATTGATTAATACATTTTTCTTTTTTGTCAATTATTGATATAGATTTTTTATAGATAATTCATAAATGTCACAATGATAATTTATGACCAAATCCAAAACAATTTGGACTTTCTTCTCGCTTGAATGCTTTTTTTTTGTTCAACATTTTTTTTTTTTTTTATAACTCAAGTGATCCTAAAGACTTTCTAGGCCCAAAGACTAATCCTGGGGTCCGGGAAAACCATGTTAAATTGCTCAAACCCCGGTGGCCAATACTACTCGAACCCAGGTGGCGGGAATTACCTCCCTTTACCACTGGACCATGTTATTACAAAAAAACGTGAGGCTCGGTCGATACTTTTCTATTTTAATTTTAACAAAAAAGAAGAAGAAGGATTACAATAAAGAGAAAATATGTTTTAGGGAACAAAACCGTATTATCTTTACTCCAAAGTAGTCCAAATGCATAACTTTTTTTTTTGTTTTACTATTTTGGCTAGATCATTGCCATTAGATATATAATTTTCATTAAAAAAAAAAACACTTTTGCGAATATAAATTTGTAACCATAGGTGTTTAATGTTTAATCAAAAGCTTAAGTTCTGTAGTGGATGTCTCCACTGTTGTATCATTTTGTCATGTTTGTGACGATAATATAAGACTTGGGAAATAAAAAAAACATAGGTGTTGCCATTCTGCAAATTCCGGTTTGCATGTGAACACACGAATCACAAAATGGTACAAGTAGTAAGATGTTCACATTGGTCAATATTAACAATTTTTTAAAAGATAAGAAACTATTGATATTTAACTAATATTTTATTTTCATAATTTTTGAAAATCCCATCCTCATACCATAGATGGAGGATAAAAACCATCTTCAAGTAAAAATATTTTGGGAGCCGTCAACGTTAACCGAATAAAAAAAAAAAAAAAAAAAAAAAAAAAAAAAAAAAAAAAAAAAAAACGTTAACCGAATAAAAACCGATATTTTTTTGGTCAACCCATCAGGTTAATAATCCGGTTTCAAATGTCGAACTTATGGGCCTAAAGACCACTACTAGTATTAAGACTGGTCCAAAACCACTGATCTGCTCGAATTACTATTATATCCGACCCGGTCCAATCAAATTCGACCCGTTTGTTTCTGATGTGTAAACGGACCCATAAAACAAACCCTAACTTATAGAGAAAGAAAGAAGAAAACCTCTGTTCATGTTCTTCTTCGATACATTTTTCTTCTCTATAGACATTTGTTTCTTTCTGTAACGCGAAATCTTGCAGGGGTTGCTAGCTCATGCCTCTGCTTCAAAATTGTATAAACTAAGTCTAAAGTACAATATACATATAAATCTCTTTTTCACTCTTAAAAACCTAACTTCTAAGTGCAATTCTTGAAAATGGTACACTTCATTCTCTTTTCTCTGATTGAAAGCACACAATTTGTTCTTAAGATGATTCAAATTGCAAATTAAACAATTAAAAAAAAAACAGGTACACCGATGAAACACGATTCAATGCTAGAAGACACACCAAGAGTTATAAACATTCAAGGTTACATTGGTGCTATGCTCAACGCCATCAACTATGATTCTCCTTCTTCATCTTTTTACGTATTATCTTTTGCAATGGTCTGATATCCCGGTTTAAATCCGGTTTACTTGACTCTCTGTTTCTGACAAATCTTTTTTGACTGATCAGGAATGGATCGGACACGAGAGGTTACTTGGTATGGTCAATGATTGATGTGTATGAGTTATTGAGTGGATATACGACCAGCTTCCGACTGTATTCTGTGAATTTCAGCGATCCTGGTCGCAAGAGGTCTCCAAAGCTCTCTGCTTCTTGGTATTCTTGTTTCTCAAGATATTACTCAGTTGCAGAGCAACTTCTCTGGCTCTTATTCATTATTTTATTACAAATGAACCATTATGATTCCCGTTACCTATATATACTAAAAAGAAAATCTTAAATCCAATAAATTTATTAATTTACGAAAATTTAATTTTTACACTAGAAATGAACCATTAATGATGTGTTACCTATATATTGTACGTAGAGTTGGTTCCACGTTTTGAAATTTTATGTCGGTCACACACACATAAAATTTTGTTGGCTTTAGCGAGTGGAGAAGGAATAGAAAAGATGGGTCACTCTCTCACTCAATACCTCCATTATAAAATGGGGTCCAAAAAAGGACAAAACCTTTCAATTATTTATTCACTTTGAACTTAGACAAAAAGAGGAAAATAAAAATAAAAATGAAACCAGCTTTGTCTTTGTTTTCTAGTTTTATTCTGGTCACCGTTTTGGCAACATGCTACATTGATGCCTTCACCAGGAACGATTTTCCAGAGGATTTCCTCTTCGGAGCCTCCACTTCGGCTTATCAGGTTTTGACTCTCTGCTTTTTGGGTTCTTTTTTCATATATTATTGCTTCCTGCGTCTAAATATAGAGTTCCTAATGAGGAATATGTGTGGAAATAGTGGGAAGGAGCCTTTGATGAAGATGGAAAAACTCATAGCGTCTGGGATACAACCTCCCACTGTGGTAACCTTTTCTGTTTAAATTTTCTTTATATGAACTTTTTTTTTATAGATGCTTGTTCAAAAATTGCAGATAATGGAAGTAATGGAGATATAGCAAGTGATGGGTATCACAAATACAAGGTTTGTCTCTCTTCTTTGCCATTTTTACTTTCGGAAGAAGTTATCGTAAGTCTCTGGCCCTGCATTCGATTTTATTGTGACTTTGGCAGGAAGATGTTAAGTTGATGGCAGAAATGGGTTTAGAAGCATTCAGATTCTCTATCTCCTGGCCAAGACTTATACCTAGTAACGCCTCTTCCTTGTTTCTTGATTTGTAAGTAACTAACGATATTGTTCCTGACCTCTTTAAACCCTTTTTTGTCAGATGGAAGAGGACCCATTAACCCAAAAGGTCTATTGTTTTACAAGAACCTCATCAAAGAACTACGAGGCCATGGTGAGGTTTTTGTCTTTTTATACTTTATCGCAACTAAAGCCAATTCATAGCTTCTGAGTTCTGATATATAGACATATTGACAACACTATTAACAGGAATTGAACCACATGTTACACTTTACCACTATGATCTTCCTCAGTCTCTTGAAGATGAGTACGGAGGATGGATCAATCCAAAAATCATGTACGGATAAAAAAGAGTAGCTAACAAAGTCACTTTTTAAAATACTAATAGAAAACAATAACAATGCTGTTTCTATATATGTTATATATTGCAGAGAAGACTTCACTGCTTTTGCAAATGTATGCTTCAGAGAGTTTGGGGATGATGTGAAGTTATGGACAACAATCAACGAAGCTCCAATATTCGCCATTGCTTCTTATGGCGAAGGAATAAAGTTTGGACATTGTCTTCCTATCAATTACTCTACCGGAAATTTTTGTACGGAAACATATATTGCAGGGCATAACATGTTGCTAGCTCACGCCTCTGCTTCAAATTTGTATAAACTGAAGTACAAGGTTTACATATCTCCTTTTTGCTCTTAGAACCCTAAACCCAAAGTGTCAATAGCTCAACTGGTAAAGACTCTCACGCAAAGCCTAGAGGTCGCTGGTTCGAGTGACGCTTGGGAGAGGACCATCTAAAATGCTCTGGCTATATTAAAAATAAAAAAAAAACTAAACCCGTATTAACATTACTCATATAGTCATATGATGGTGCAGACTAAGCAAAGAGGCTCCGTAGGCCTTAGTATATCTGCTTATGGATTGTCGCCTTATACAAACTCCAAGGACGATGAAATCGCAACTCAGAGAGCTGAAGCTTTCCTCTATGGCTGGTGAGAAAATTGCTTTCTTTGTTTAAGTAACTTGAGGACAAAATCTGAAGACGAAATTGATAATTTCAGGATGTTAAAGCCTTTGGTATTTGGGGATTATCCGGATATAATGAAGAGAACCTTGGGATCGAGATTACCTGTTTTCTCAGAGGAAGAGTCAGAACAAGTGAAAGGATCAACTGACTTTGTAGGAGTTATTCACTACAACACATTCTATGTCACAAACCGACCCGCACCTTCTCCCATTACCAGCATTAACAAACTCTTCTTTACAGATATTGGCGCATCTCTGATCGGTAAGCCTAGTTTCTTTTCATACGATCGAACAAGCTAGCTTCCCAACTCTTTTAGCTAATAACTCTTCTTCTTTGGACAGCCACTGGGAATGCTTCATCATTCGAGGTAAGGACCTATAAATCCAATACTTATATATTTAGGCCAAAAGCTCTGGTTTGATGCTTCTTGCTTTCTTGAAGTTTGATGCTATTCCATGGGGTCTTGAAGATATTCTTGAGCATCTAAAGGAGAGCTATAACAATCCTCCAATCTACATTCTTGAAAATGGTACACTTCATTCTATTTTTGACTTCTTGCTCTGTTCTGTCTCTTTGAGAGCACACCTTTTTGTTCTTAAGATTCTTCATATCACACCCAAAAAAAACAGGTAAACCGATGAAACATGGTTCAACGCTACAAGACACACCAAGAATTGAATTCATTCAAGCTTACATTGGTGCTGTGCTCAACGCCATCAAGTAAAATTCTCCTTCTTCATCTTTTAGTTCGCATTGTTTGTTTTAATTCCTGACTAATAGTTTGACTTATCAGGAATGGATCGGACACGAGAGGTTACTTTGTATGGTCGATGGTTGATTTGTATGAGATAATGGGTGGATATATAACCAGCTATGGAATGTACTATGTGAATTTCAGCGATCCCGGTCGCAAGAGGTCTCCAAAGCTCTCTGCTTCTTGGTACTCAGGTTTTCTCAATGGTACAATTGATGTTGCTTCTCAAGATACTATTCAGTTGCAGAGAAAATTCTCTGGCTTTTCTTCCTTGTAATATATTTAACTAAAGCATCCTGGTTTGGTTTGATTTCATCTATCGTATGAAACAAACTCAATGGGTTGGAAAAATGGTTTGGTAAGATTTGCATATGAATAATGAATTGATGTAGCTTTCGAGACCAACGAGAGTAGAATATATAGATTCTCGAAACTCGAACACAATCACAAAAGTCACAAAGACAGTAAAGGCTTATATTTCAACGTTATGATAAAATTATTAGTAAAAAGTGCATGTTGTGTAAGCATTTTTGTTTGCTAAATACAATAAAAATCTAAATACTCAGGTTACAACTAGAGGCGGATCCAAAAACTTTTTTTTACTATGGGGCATTAGAAAAAAATATGAAATTTTTTATCAAAAAACCTTAATTCACTATCGATGCACCAAGACGAAGATTGTGCATTTTCTTGAAGAGATAAAAAATTTTGAGATCACACTAGAAATGATTAGGCAGTTTCTTCCGAAAGTTAATTGGGATCAATTCGATATCAAGAACCGTTCTGCTGCAGAATGTGAAGCCCGGTAAGTTCCTCATCTAGCTGAACTTCTAGTTGCTAAGATAAATATCAACAATGGATTTTTTAATTTGTATGCCTCATTGTAGGTGGATGAGCTTGTAAGATCAATTGATTAACTACGGCCCATGGACTGTAGCAGAGGACAATTACATACGCCTAATTACCAAAAACAAGGGTGTTACAGACTGGCTTGACATTGCGGTAACACTAGGGACAAATAGGACCCTATTTCAATATTTGGCTCGATAGCAGAGAAGCTTAAATCCAGATATATTGAGAAAAGAATGGACTGCAGAGGAAGATGACCAACTCCGTGCCGCGGTAGACTTGTCTGGCGAGAAAGACTGGCAATCTGTTGCAAATGTATTACAAGAAAGAACTGGACCTCAGTGCTCTAATAGGTCAATGATCTTGATGAATTAATTAGATATCAAATTCCTAACACAATCACAAAAAATATGGCATAACATAAATTGAAAATATTAAATATATATCCTAAAGTTTTACATTAAGTTTTATAAAATATCTAATAAAACAAAATAAATAAAAAACTTCCAAACATTTTATAAAATGAACCTCGGCTGAGGCACCCGCCACCCGGCTTCGAGTCCCGGCCACTGCGCAATTTACCTACGGGGCGCAGCGTCCCAGACCACCAGATCCGAGGGGCCCTTAAGTGGAGGCTTAAAAATCCAAGGAACGCGGGGTTAGGCCCAGTGGGCTAGTCGGATCACAGTGTGGTCTGGACACTGGGTTATCAAAAAAACATTTTATAAAATGTACCAGAAGAAGTGTTATACTATATGATCCATAAACGATATTTAGTTACATGAGTAGACAATAAATTCGTTCAGTCCCAGGAACCTGGGCTCAACAAAGGTATGGCAGCGTAGATTTTTTTTTTGAGCGGAGATATTTTTTACTTCAGTGGGGGTATTTTCGTCATTAACAGCCACGGGAAAGCCCTAGAGCCCTAAAAAGAAGCAGCCCATTTGTCTTATCTCTCTGATCTTGTCTTTTTCGTACTTCAGTCTCTCTTTCTCTATCTCGATCTTGTCTTCTTCGTACTTGATATCTGAAGTCCACTAATGTGTAAAGCCAACCACAACGACGATTCTCCTCCTTTCTTCTACTCCGAGTCGGAGGAGGAGGAAGAGGAAGAAGAAGATAGAAGAAGAAGAAGAAGAAGAAGAAGAAGAAGAAGAAGAGGAGGAGGAGTCCGATGTTTATCTTTTGAACTCCGAGTCGTCGGAGGAGGAGGAAGAGGAAGAAGAAGAAGAAGAGGAGGAGGAGGAGTCCGATGAGGAGATTGTCTCCGATCTTAAGCCTGGTGATCAACTAAACCCATTAACTCTACACAAGTCTCTTGTAAAGTTTGAAGAAAGTCTTCGCCATGCAACAAACTACGTCAAAGACACGGTGATTAAATATTAAACTCTTGAAGATTTTGTAATTATTATTATTATCATAATAATTATTTAACCTTTTTTCTTGCAGGAAGGACTAGGTCGTAGCTGTTTTGATCTTCTCGAATATGTTGAAAGTATTTATGATTGCTTTCATGAGATTGATAAAAGGTGGAAGAAAGTTGGCGATTCTAAAGGATTCTCGCTACGACCTTCTACACTTGACGAATTAACATTTGACCAACTGCAAAGTTTTGTCTTAGATCTACTAAACAATGAGGCAGCTCTTTACTATGATGCTCTTGTCGATTTTTTGGAGCCTTTTCCGCTTTCGGCTGCTAGGGAAAAACAACTCGAGAAGTTGAGACTTGCCATCAACTATTATGGTCTCCAGTTGGGACCTGCTTCTTACTACACCTCCTCCGAACCCGATTACGAGTCGGATGAGGACGATGACGCGGACGACGAGGATGATGCATAATCTAACGTTCATATATGAAAAGTTAAGTTGAATGCTAAATATCTGAAACCCTTACTGGTTAGTGTTATTAAGTTCGAATGCTATCTATGTTACCTTTATTTATTAGTGTTATTATTATGTTGTATGCTAAATATTTAGACCTTTATTTATTAGTGTGTCGTGCTTGATTATATTGAACAATTGTTTGATTATAAAAATCAAAGGAACTCACTGTTAATCTGCAACAGAAATCTTCATTAACTGCTCTAAATCGAAAATTAGGGAGAATAAGCAAGAAATCAAATCAATTCAGTTAATAATAATAAATTTTCTTATAATTTGAAAAAATTTAGGCGAATGGTTTTGGATTTGTTGGGTATATATGCTTTGCCTTGCATGGTCACTCAAATAGGTTGTAATGTCTTGTTGTATTCAATGGAAGAAAGAAGTATTTATACACAAGTAGTTTCCTATATACGAGATAAGATCGTATCTAAGTAAATCTAGGAAATAGAAGATTGGCATATATCTTAGTCCCAACTCCCAAGATGGTGGTACGAAATTGCTAACACCTAACTTGGACAAGAGTCAAACGTCGGTCTTTGTAAGGTTTTTGTAAAAAGATCTGTGGCTTGGTCCTTGGTAGAAATGTGTGTTGTAGTTATCAGTTTTTCTTGCACAGCGTCCCGTACTTGATGACAATCTGATTCGATGCGTTTAGTTATTTTATGAAAGACCGGGTTCGCAAGATTGCGGCCGGACTCTCACAATGTAACTCAATTGGGTGTAGATGATCAAACCCCAATGTCTTCAGAAGTGTATTTATCCATTTGAGTTCTTTAAGTGTATAAGCCATTGCTCGATACTCGGCTTCTGTAGATGAGCTTGAAACCATGTTTTGTTTCTGCGTTTTCCAAAAGATAGGAGAATCACGTAAGTAAACAATGTAGGTGAAAGAGAACGTCGGCGGCAGTTTCATCCATGGCTAGCTCTGATACCATGAAAATAGTTGTAATGTCTTGTTGTATTCAATAGAAGAGAGAAGTATTTATACACAAGTAGTTTCCTATACGAGATAATATCGTATCTAAGTAAATCTAGGAAATAGAAGATTGACATATATTTTAGTCCCAATAGTCACTAGATATCAAAAGGTGCAAATAAGAAACCAGTTTAGAAGAGTACAAGTTAGGGCAGATAATAGAACAAGTAAGCAATTCAATCATCCACACCAAACTCTATCCGAGCCACAAGTCCTGCTTGCTCATCTGAAGTTAGTTATAAACTTACAACTTCTTGGAGAAAATAATTTTTTTTCCTCCATAGAAGAGTCGTCATATTCGTTCATGATCAACACAAGATATCCAACAGAACTCCCATCCTTGTTTTGTTTCCTAGAGTATGAAGGATTACAAATTTAAAGTGGAAGGCAGACTTTCTTCTTCTGAATATAAAACCGCAGCATCATCAACAAGATCAGTGTGATGAGATTTGTAAAATACGGAAACAACAACATCGTCGCAGAGAGAAGCTGTATGCAGCTTTTTCATGTCAACAATCTTTTCGACACTGTTGTACGCAGTTTTTTTCATGTCAACCTCAAGACTAGCCTTCTACAAACCTAAAAAGACAAATTCTTTGGTGATATTAATAAAAAAGTCAGCTAAATGAAACATATGGACCCCATTGTTAAACTGATCGAAACATATACATATCAACGAAGATTCAGAGATTTCACGACGGTGGAAAATGTTATCTTAATATGCCCAATTCTAAACTTTTATATATCGTTATTAACTTGATATCATCTAAATTGGCCCTCACACCTCTGCTTCAACAGTCTCGGACTTACAATAAGATAATTCTTTTGTAGAAGTATTATGGGCCATGCATTTTAGCCTCTCCAAACACTGGTATGGATCATTATAGACCCATCTCGTATAGTCGTATGGATTATTTCAACACCATATCCAATACCGGCAGGCGGCAATACATTATACATGCTTTAAATTAAGAACTGTTTTCTATATCAAAAAATTTATAGCAAAATTTGTTTTCTTTAATTAAGAAGTTAGTTATAAACTTTCAACTTCTTAGAGAAAATAATGTTTTTTTTAGCAAATATGAAAACAAATTTTGCAATAAAAATCGAGTAAATTGCAACAAATCTACAATACTAGATTCTGTAGTAATTTTACCACAAACATATATTAAATTTACAACTTCTTTCTTTATGATTTTTGTTACAAATTACAACAAAAGTCTACTATATTTTTTTTTGTTTTTTTTTTGTCAATAATCTATAACATACAGGTTTAATTTGAACATGAGTAATACTACAACGATGACACTAATACAAATTTTTCAATTACAAATTTTGGTTTTTTTGTTTTTTTGTTTTTTTGCGTATATGTATTATTTTAGTGAAATAGAGAAGAAGATATCATTTCTACAGGTTACAACTATAGTTTTTTACTCACTAGCTAATTCGTGAAAACACACATAACCAATACCTTCATTAATTTAGAACTTAACTATAATTAGTGTTTTTGTTTTCATTGTATGAGTATGTTGTGACTATTGGTCAGATTTGTTAAGGAAAGTTGTTATTACTATTGGTTGCAAATAACTTTAAACAGTTTTTAATTTACAAAAAAAATAAAAAATATAAAGAATTTACAATTTAAAAAGTTAAAGTGGTTGTGCACATGAACATGATCTCCAACAAACTTGAAAACATTATAAAGCTGAAAGAGTTTGATAATTATGCCATGCTTTTTCTTGTCTTGTTGTATTCCATAGGAACGGCTTCTTTAATTAAAACAGGCAAACAGCTTTGCTATTAAGAAAACTGTAGAATATTCTCTCCCTCTAGTCCTCTTTGGTATGATAATTATAAATCAAATTAGTTCCTCAGTAGCACTAATTAAGATTTTCCTTTTTATTAATAATATAACCGAATTTTTTGAATTCGGATGATAAGACAACAACATCACTATAGAAACAAGAAATCTTTTAGGACTGTTAGGACTGTCAATTTTCCAAATATATACGACAACTTTTCGAAAGACTGTATTTGAAAACAAGACGTAATAACATCGATTAAATCATATCAAAACTGAATTTGAAATTGAAGGTAACCTTTTTTGGGATATAAAATTCAAGGTGTAACTTTTCTAATTAAATAGATATATTCAAGTCCCTTTACTTATTTTGCCGCTTTAGTAACAATTTTATATCTTACCTAGCTAGAATAATAATCCATCATTTTGATTTGAAAATACAAAAGTATGCCGACCAATATAAATAAAATTAAAATACAGTGGTATGCATGCATATCACTATATATAACAGCAAAATATGTATATATATATCTCTTCTTCTTTTTAATGCTATAGGATGCTTTTTCATCTTTTTGGTCCATAACTTTTTCTTCTGTCTCAGAACGTAGATTTCACTAACTATATTTGCAGTTACATATACCATAAAAGAAAGGAATCTTAACGAAAAAAAAAACATAAGATTCCTTCTTCAACTTTTGTAACGATCAGGTTTAGACTTGCACATGTTGCAAAAACAAAGAACACGGCAAAAAAAACAAAAACATACAATAATATTATTATTTTGCACAAAAAAAACAATAATATTACAAGAATTTATCTAATTGGCTTATTACGATGGAGAATACCAACTTTTAGCACAAAAAAAAACATGTTATGAAAACTATAGCAAACAACAAAGAAGAAGTTGAATATACACAAGTCTCTACTTCCTATTTGAAAGTCTAGCTAAATAGTAAAGACAAACTTAACAACAATGATCTCCTTTAAACATGGCAGATCACATTCAACAATCATATGTTCATAGAAATCTAAGATCAATATTTTTCAATTTTTTTTTGTTTTTATCTAAGATCAATTAAATATTAAATTTGAGTCTTTGTACATTCCAATGTTCTTTTAAGTTTTGGCTCTCCAAATTACTTTGAGTTACATCTAATCCTACACCGACACGTGTCCAACAATTTTCTCTCCTGATGCGACTCATTTTCTCAATTTTTGGTCTTTCTCTTTTCATTTTTTAGAAAAAGAAAAGGGATTTTTGCCAAATCTACCACATTTTTCAAATTCCTTAGCATCTCTACCACAATTGAGAATGATTTAGCATTTGTACCACATTTATGTGATATTGTGGTATGAAAAAGACGGTTTTACCCTCGGCTGATGTGGCAGATAAAGTGTAACATTTAGGGACAAGTATCTGGGGGACAAAAAATATATTCGGGGACAATAATCAAACGAAATATAAACATCAAACAAAATGAAAAGACCGCAATTAGAGTTTACATACTAAAATCCAAGAACAATGAATTAAAATTGAGGGACAAAAACTAGCAAACATGCAAAAATAAGATGAAATTATAGAGAAACTCAAACTTCGGGGACAACTGTATGTAAATTTTTTTTTGTGTCTTCAATCTATGAATTTTGTCCCCGAAATTTGAGCAAACAAAAAGAAGGGCAAAATGGTCATTACACACCTCAATTGTGGTATAAATGCTAACTGGGATTCAAAAGTGGTACTGGACCTAAATTTTGGGCCAAATGTGGTATTCAATCTAATTTTCCCAAAAGAAAAACTCAAAAAAGAGATAAAAAGAAAAAGAAAAGTAAAAAGTTATTAGGAAAAAGAACCATCAGTATTTTTTACTAATGTCTGACCAAAATAGCCTCTCGTGTAGAGTCTCTCGTCCATAAATATGGGCCTCCAACAATTCAATCCTTCCCTTTTCCCCTTCTAATCTCTCTTTCTCTCTACATTTTGAGATCATCATTTTAAATTGTCCTCTCTTTTTTTTCCGGTTAAGCACCATGATCTCTACTATTTCTCCGGTTTTCTCAACCGAACCGGGTCTATTAACCTCTGTCCCAGCTTTCGAAACCGGTTTCACTCCATGGGACATTTCACACCTCTTCTCGGTCTTCGACTCATCAATGGATCTAATACCGGTTTCGACCCATGACAATAGTTCAGTAAACCAGACCAGTACAGACGTTGCTCGAACCGAAAGTACCGATGAGAGGAAAAAGAAACGGAAATTATCGAACCGGGAATCGGCTAAGCGGTCAAGAGAGAAGAAACAAAAACACTTGGAGGAGATGAGTATGCAGCTAAACCAGCTCAAGACTCAGAACCAAGAATTGACAAACCAGCTCCGGTACGTTTTATACCACTG